TGACACTGACTGTATACAACTGAATAAAATAATTGTAAAAACATCGTTCCAAATTCTTTCGCTTTTTTGTTTCCGATGCGATGAACCGATAAGGCGGATTATATCCGTTGTCGCCAAACACGAGCACATAATATTATCATTGAGACAGGGCGGTACTCAAACTTCCAAAGGGCTATAACTTTGTTACTTTAATTTTACCAGAATAATGGTAAAGGAAAAAAACATTTCTTTTGATCAGATCTACTCACTGTTAAAATAAATGACTCAACTTCGAAGTCACCCTGTATAAAACACGATATAGTCAGAGTGTTAGTGGAACATACTATCGCAACCTTTATTAAATTTAATTTGTGGATTCAGTGGTGATATTATTATCATCGTCGCCTTATAATCGTGTATAAACATCCATTACCGTTTGGAAAATTCCATCTGGTAAAAATCGTAATGTGAACGTACTTAACAAATTCAGAGGAAAATCCTTGACTGTTTAGAGAACATTGCCAAGCAGTACGTCATAAATAGCTGTTCATTGAACTGGTTCTAAAAATAGAACGATTTTCCATGTGCATTGTTCTACAGTAACCTAGAAGTTTGCACTATTCCTCATGATATTAAAAATATATCCAAACTTTGACTCATTTCATTCCTGTTCAGCTTATTCTGGCACATGGTTCGTGGCTTATTTGTTAGGTGAGATCATTTGTATATCGGTCCATCTGCAATAAAGTTGCACTTTATTTAATATTTTTTTATTATTTGCATTTAGTGTGGGCATTTTTCATAATTTGGTCTCGGAAATATGTATGTCGTTTTCGATCCAAGTGTAATTTGGATAACGATATAATAAATGGTGATAATACCTCCCAAATCTACAGTTTTCCCAATAAAATCGTACAATGGTGCGTATTGTTCTATCTTGGTGCGATCGAGCTAGGTGAAACTTGAAATATACTAAGTGACATATAAATCCGAACACCCAGTTTAAATGGTTTTATTTTAATAAAAGTTGGTGAATGTATTTATCTTACTGTAAATAACAAGTGAAAAAATTTTCAGCCTTATCAGTTGGACATTCCGGTTTTTATACTGCTTTTTTTTAATTCACTAACGCTCTAAAAATGAATATTTCAGCCGCAGTAAAGAATCAACGATGGCGGATTTTGGTTCTTGACATCCTTTACGATCGGTTACGATGCCTAGAGTACGGAGACCTGTACGATTTCGTCAACTTAGTGAGTTTGATAGGGGCCGTATAGTGGGACTTCGGGAAGCTGGACTTTCTTTTCGGGCAATTGCAGTTAGAGTGCAAAGAAGTGTAGACACTGTGGTTATTTGTTGTCAGGCATGGCTTCGAGAAGGCCGTACGCAAAGAGCAAGGGGCACTGGACGCTGCCGTAGAACAACAGACCGTGAAGATCGCCGCCTAAGATTATTGGCCTTAAGGGACCGTTTCTCCACTACCAGGTCCATTGCAAATGAATGGTTTTCAGAAAAAGAAAGACCTATTGGCATGCGAAGTGTTTACCGACGAATGAGAAGTTTTGGCTTGTTCTCATACCGGCCACACTGGGTCCTCCCTTTAACTCGAGAACACCGACGTAATCGCCTTGAGTGGTGCAGACAACGGTCACTCTGGGATCAGGAATGGAACAGTATTGTCTTTAGTGACGAGTCTCGATTTTGTTTAGGCATGCACGATGGTCGTGCCAGGGTTAGAAGGCGACGTGGTGAAAGGAGGAATCCACAGTTTTTTGTTGAAAGACATGTTCATCACGCTGTTGGAGTTATGGTTTGGGTTGCTATAGCTTATGGTTCCAGGTCTCCTTTAATCTTCATCAGAGGTAACATGAACGCGCAGCGTTATATCTACGTTCTAGAACCCCATCTTTTACCCTATCTTGACACCCTGACAGATCCAACTTTCCAACACGATAATGCCCGACCACATGTTGCAAGAGTCACAGTAGACTTCTTTCAACATAATGATGTCACATTGTTACCATGGCCACCAAGATCTCCCGACTTATCCCCAATTCAGCACGTGTGGGATATGATGGGTAGGACATTGCTCAATTTGCAACGTCCTCCTCAGACTCTAGAAGCACTTCGAGAGGAGTTGGTGGTTGCCTGGAATGAGATACTACAGGAGGACATTGACCACCTGATCAGAAGCATGTCTAGGCGCGTTGGAGAATGCGTAGCACATCAGGGTGCATCCACACATTATTAAAGGTCAAAGGGCTTTAAAGCAGTGCAATCATTTTGAAATTTTTATCATTTACTTATTATGCTTCATTAAGTACTTATACAAAATTTTATTAAAATAATACCATTTAAACTGGGTGTTCGGATTTATATGTCACTTAGTATATTTGCAGATTTTGACGGAGCTCGTCGCATGTCAGTAGACAGTTCATAATTTGCTGCATGCAATAGACTGTACAGATACATGGTTTAATGAAGCGAAATATTTAGAATGTTCAGTTTTACCAGAATAAACCTAAAGCTTCATAAAGTTAGGTTGATATCTCAAATACTATCAACTAGAAATCTCAAGGACGTTGACAGGATAGATTCTGTCCAATCCCAATGCCTTCCTGGTGATCTGTGATGAAAGTGTCAAAAGTATGGCAGTGTGAAATTCACGTTGACAATAAATGTCACAAAGGAAGGGTGTTTCATTTTGGGGTGTTATGAGTAGTAGAGGATTACTACCAAGTATAGACGTTGAATCCGACGATGATCCCCATCCCACTAGATCAAGTATCAGTTGTTGCAGTAAGTACTTCTTTGATGTGTTATTCTATCGATGGTATTAAAAGCGAGCATTTGAAAATTATAGCCGAGGACATAACAGAACCACTCACTTACCTAATCAACAAATGCTTTGAATCTGGCATATATCCCTCAATTTTAAAAAAAGGTAATATAATACCGATACATAAATCAGGAACAAAAACAGATGTTAACAACTATAGACCAATATCAATAATATCCAGTGTAGCAAAGGTTTTTGAAAAAGTTTTATCTACTAGAATGATTCGATACCTCACAAAATTCAAAATTTTAAGTGAAAATCAATATGGATTTACAGAAGGGAAGGCTACATCGGACGTAATAACTAAAATTGTAAATCAAATATATCAAAATATTGATAACAGAATCCCTTCAATCTGCATTTTTGTTGATTTAAAGAAAGCTTTCGACACAGTGAATCACAAATTATTATTAGAAGCATTGGAGAGAATTGGTTTCAGAGGAAACGCGTACTCACTGATCGAAAGTTATTTGTCAAATCGCCCACAATCTGTGCAGATATCAGGATCATTTAGTAAAGAAATGTATATTAAGTGTGGTGTCCCACAAGGAACTGTCTTAGGTCCGCTGTTATTCAATATATATTTAAATGATATTTTCCAAATTAATTGTGTTGGCAAAATAACTAGTTTTGCAGATGATACTGCAATATTATATGAAGGCACTGACTGGTCTGATCTGAAAAATGTAATTGAAAATGATTTTATCAAAATTATTCGGTGGTTTAACAGTAGAAAATTAAGCATTAACTACTCTAAAACACATTTTTTACCATTTGGATCTTATGCTAGACATCTTCCAAATTACACAAATTTCTCCTTCAATATTAATGATCAAAAAATGCAAATTAATAGAGTGCCCAACATAAAATACCTTGGAGTGGTCTTGGATCCTCACTTACGATGGGACATCCATGTCAATTATATTTTAAAGAAAGTTAGATTTGTATCCTACAAAATTAAATACCTTGGGAATATATTGACAGAAAAATATCTTCGAACATTATACCATGCACTGATTGAGCCTCATCTCACATATGGTATATTAGCATGGGGAGCTGCATGTTCCTCACATATCTATAATTTAGATGTTTTTCAAAAAAGTATTCTAAAAATGATATTTAAAAAACCGAAACTTTATCCCACTGAAAAATTATATGCAGATGTTCGAATGTATGATATAAGACAGCTTTATTTCTTACACAGTATCACTCACTACCATAAATTTGTAAACACCGACCAAAAAATTAAACATAATCATTATACCAGGTACAAAATTCGTGGCACAGTAGTTCCTCAACCGCATAAATCTATAATGCAGCGATCATATCTCTATTTAGCGCCTAAATTTTATGAAATTATACCTAAAGACTTAAAAGATATACGTTTCGGAAATTGTTTCAAAAGAAATTTAAAAAAGTGGCTACATTCTATATCTAGGACTGAAATTCATAAACTCATAAATACAAACATCAACTAAATACATAATCTACTGTAGCTAATTTTTGTCCTTTTTTGTCATTTGCATTCTACAGTTTCAACTTAAATTATTGGTCCATGTACAGGCGATGCCTTCTATTGGGCCTGTGTTGATTTTATATTTATTTACTCATATTGTTTGTTATCTTTGTACATTGAGTAAATAAATATTATTATTATTATTATCGATATACGAGGGATGTCTTTTAAGTTTTGCATATGGAAATAAAACAACACGGTAGGTGGTTTCAAATGACTTTATTGTTTTTCGAAGTATTCTTCACGGAGATTAATACACATCTGCATGCGCTCGAACCAATTTTCGAAGCACTTATTCCACTCGTTTGCTGAAAGTTGTAATAAATTATGGCGCGAAAATGTTCTCGGTTGAGTTCCATTTTTCTAATGACTTGGTGACACCTAAAAATTCACTGTAGTGAGAACACTGCACGTATTGTTGTGAAACGTTGAATTTAAGTTTACTAAAGAGTGAGGTTAAGATTCAGTACTGACGTTCGATCCGCGCGGCCTACTATCTTTCTATATGCAAAACTTCCTATGTATAGGAACATGAAAAGTATAATAAATAAATTCCATTCTATTCGCCTGGCCTATTACAGCCTTGCACATCATGATAAAATTCTCACAGCGTACTTATCATATGATGCATAACCGCTTTTTACCGAGCAAAATGCAAAAAGCCGAACTGCGACCAAACCCGTACTTCGCTAGGCTTTTCCCGTTACAAAGTTTATTTTAAACCCGGTGGAAAAGAGTTGTGTATATTTTTATATGTTGCAAATGTGCCAATTGAATGTCTACGTTTAGTTTTTGTTGAATGTTTGCTCTGAAAAGCGGCTTGTGAAATACGCAGTGGGTGCTTTCGCGGTGTCAGAATGTGTTCTAGAGGAGTTTATATACCGGATGATCAGAAGGAGTTGTCGGTAAACGCGCCCAGTTTCTTGAGAGTGAATTCTTTCGTTGATGACGAGAGGGCAGGTATAGGTTTGTGTCGTTTTTATATGTATTCGTTACGTAAATACCGCTGAATCTACTTTAGGGGATCAGGTTACAAGATAAGCAAATTAGGGTTCATTTCTTTCAGTTTGATGTTTAGATTTGATACAAGGGGCACCCTTGATCTTCGAGCACCAGCCTTTTGGTTGGAACTTGAAGCCGATGACAAGTCGAAGACTGTGTAGTTTCAAGACTTTATTTATAATGAGAAAATTGAGAACTGTTTTAAGTGAGCATCAATTAATAACATTAGATTGAGATACGGACTGTGCTTCTGGGGCTGCTCATCATCTGCTCAGGACGTGTTCGTATATCAGAAAAAGGTTGAGATGTATGGCAGGTGTAGGTTTACTCGAGAAATATCTACCCTCATTATTTATGTTCGAGATGGCCATATAAACCTTCTTGAACCAGAACAATTTTATTTAAATAACCAATTTTGTTTAAATTTTCTTTATGATGTCTAATAACTAGTTTGGTAATTTCTATATAATTTTCATACATTTTATTAAAAGGACTCCATAAAACTTCATACTATATTTGTACTACAATATAATTTCGCACTGTCATATTATACGTCCTCCATTTTCGATCTAGAATTATGTCACTTTGCTTATTATGTTTCCCTCATTAAGTTCTTTCATTTGATACTCATAGTATAGCAGTGACTATGAAAATTATAAATCGTCAGTTAGCGGCGATCGCCATATTAGATTTAGAATAGCGTCACCTTGCTTATTGCGTTTCTCTGATCAAGCCCTTTCATTTGATACCTACATCATAGGGGTGACTACGAAAAACGTAAATCGCCTTTTTTCGGCGGGCGCCATATTGGATTTAGAATGATGCCACTCTGCTTATTGTGTTTCTCTCATCAAGCCCTTTCATTTGATACCCTTATCATAGGGGTGTATGAAAAACGTAAATCGTCAATTTGTGGTGTTTGCCATATTGGACTTAGAATGATGCCACTCTGCTTATTGTGTTTCTCTCATCAAGCCCTTTCATTTGATACCCATATCATAGGGGTGACTACGAAAAACTTGAATCGTCATTTTGCGGTGGGCGCCATATTGGATTTAGAATGACGCCACTCTTCTTATTGTGTTTCTCTCATCAAGCCCTTTCATTTGATACCCTTATCATAGGGGTGTATGAAAAACGCAAATCGTCAATTTGCGTCTGACGCCATATTGGATTTAGAATGACGTCACCTTGATTATCGCGTTTCTCTCATCAAGCTCTTTCATTTGATTCCCAGATCATTGGAGTGGCTACGAATAACGTAAGTCGTCATTTTGCGGTATCTGCCATATTGGACTTAGAACGACGTCACTATGCTTATTGTGTATCTCTCACCAACATCAAGCCCTTTCATTTAATTCCCATATCATAGGGGTGACTGTGGAAAACGTAAATCGCCATTTTGCGTCTGACGCCATATTGGATTTAGAATGACGTCACCTTGATTATCGCGTTTCTCTCATCAAGCTCTTTCATTTGATTCCCAGATCATAGGAGTGGCTACGAATAACGTGAATCGTCATTTTGCGGTATCTGCCATATTGGACTTAGAACGACGTCACTATGCTTATTGTGTATCTCTCATAAACATCAAGCCCTTTCATTTGAGACTCATATCATAGGGGCGCCACCTTGCTTATTGTGTTTATCTCATCAGGCCTTTTCATTTGATACCATTATCATAGAAGTGACTACGAAAAACGTAAATCGCCATTTTGCGGCCGGCGCCATATTGGATTAAGCATGACGTCACCCGTTTTGCGTCTGGCGCCATATTTGACATAGAATGACTTCACCTTGCTCATTGCGATTCTCTCATCAAGCTCTTCCATTTAATTCCCATATCATAGGAGTGACTACGAAACACGTAAATCGCCATTTTGCGTCGGGCGCCATATTGGATTTGGAATGACGTCACCTTGCTCATTGCGTTTCTCTCATCAAGCTCTTCCATTTGATTCCCATATCATAGGAGTGACTACGAAAAACGTAAATCGCCATTTTGCGGAGGGCGCCATATTGGATTTGGAATGACCTCACCTTGCTCATTGCGTTTCTCTCATCAAGCTCTTCCATTTAATTCCCAGATCATAGGACGAAACACGTAAATCACCATTTTGCGGTATCTGCCATATTGGACTTAGAACGACGTCACTATGCTTATTGTGTTTCTCTCGTCAAGCCCTTTCGTTCGATATCCATATCATAGGGGTTAGTATCTAAATGATAAATTGCCATTCTGTTGCATACGCCATATTGGACTCAAAATGGCCTCATTTAATTCATTTTGTGTCCGTCCACGAAATTTCAGCTCGATTGGTTAGGATTAATTGATTCAAAAGTAAGTGTATCTTATGGATTTTCGCTGTGGACATGCTGTACAATAAGGAAGTACATTTGTGGTGCCCTAGTAATAAATAGTGTTAACTACTGCCTGAGGCACATATTTAAAATTTTCTTACTGATAAGCCGCGTCTAGCATTCATTTAAATACTTGGTTTCATTGTTCGAAATGTGATTAATATTCATTGTATTATCCTACCGCGCCGAAACTATTTCCTGTCATATCAAAGCGATTATATTGATCACATACATTCTATTTGTATCTCACTTTCTTAATTAGTCAAGTTCATGTTTAAAGCATAACCGTCCCATAAAATTATTTAAGGTAGGGTCAGCGCGACAGTCCGAGATGTGTTAAACGTTAAGGCAGCGTAGTGAAACACGAAACATATTGTACCGTTTTTCTGGGTTCTTTTGGGTGTGCTTTAATACACTGGATTCCACAGAAAGAAATGCACTAATTTATTTAACACCACTATTCATGTCTGATTAATTCTTATGTCGCCATTGACTGCACTTTATTCCACTCCGCTCTGCACTGTACTCTCTTTCCATCTCCCGACCGCCAAGTTATATATAGTCCCCATTGCTGCTTCGAGAAAGGTCTGGTGAACAACAAAGCGGCATCTAGAATATCGCAGGTCACTTCGCGTCGATCTAGAAGAGTCACTGCCACGGTCCTCACAGACGCCGCCAAGCGGCTTGTGCGGTCGTGGTTCGCTTAAAGCAGAGATCGGTCATGAAGCTCTGGCGAGTACGATACTCGCCCAACAGATGGCGCCAACAGTACGATTTGTCACAATAACACTGAAGAGGATACAGTCCCCCACGGCTATTATGTAAAAAACTTATTCTGGGTCCTTTTGGGTGTGCATTAAAACACTGGATTCCACAAAAAGAAATGCATTAATTTAATTAACTTGATAGAACATTTATATACACTACTATTTATGTATGACTAATTCTTATGTCGCCATTGACTGCACTATACTCCACTCCGCTCAGCACTGTACTCTCTTTCCATCTCCCGACCGCCAAGTTATATATAGTCCCCATTGCTGCTTCGAGAAAGGTCTGGTGAACCACAAAGCGGCATCTAGAATATCGCAGGTCACTTCGCGTCGATCTAGAAGAGTCACTGCCACGGTCCTCACGGACGCCGCCAAGCGGTTTGTGCGGTCGTGGTTGACGTAAAAGCAGATACTATTTGTCACAATATACACTGAAGATGATTCAGTCCCGCACGGCTATTATGTAAAAAACTTATAAAACGTCAAAAAAAAAAACAACGAAATGTAATCTTGCAGACTTGACTGTGAGCATCCATCTATGGAGGAATGACTCAACTACGCGCATTGTTGGCAAGTATATGTTCTGTGAAGCTGAGTTGTCTGTAGTGTTTATCTCTGAGAAGATGTGAAAGAAAGAAAGTTGGTTGAGTAGCTGCTAATGGAGTATATCTATTAGCTGTGCCCGACGGGTTACTTTAATGTTCTCCTTTCTGAAGACAGGTTATGCTCAAAGTCATTATGAGATCACGAAGGCTTGACAAATTACTTGGGGATTCCTTTAAAAATGATCCCCGTAGAAGAGAAATCCGTCGTCACCACTGACGACTAATTATAATCAACTCGCCGGCCCGCGGCTCGAAATCGAAATTGATACCGAATTTACTGCTACAAACAACATCGTGATATCGCTTAAGTAGCCGCGTCTGGGTTGGGGACGACGCATCAAAGAAACGCCGGAATATATCTTTTTAATATTATTCACATCGCGAACGTCCACCGATTATGACCTAGTGAGAATGTTCTTCAACACGTTTATTGCACGCGACAGTTTGGAAGAGAAAGATCGCGCTGATACAGTTGTTGAGGAGGATTCAGAAGTACCGAATGGCGAGCTGGATTGTCAAGGTAAAATATTGAGTGGTGTGTCTCAGAAGTCCTTGGAACCTTTTGTCTTGGTTACATGCCAAATAAGATGGCAAGTCTTTTGTGTGGAAACTCTTGGAGGAGAAATATTGATTTGTGAAGATATTTAGCTATAAGCTAACGATTTATGGTGTCCATATGACCTTTCTTCTTGGTTAGAATTTTGTTGGTCCATTGGGACCGGTGGCTTGAATGATGATCGAGTCATCACGTTCTTCAACACGTCTTTGATGACAAACAGTTTTGAGAAGGAATAATGTGATGGGGAGAAATGGGAAGCAATGTGATCTGTAGGATCCTTTCGCTATTTTAGCGTTTTTGGACATTTAGAAGAGATAACGTTTTTACCCGGTAATCTTGATTAAATATAGCATCGATTTTGCTGTTTTGGCAATGATCTTCTACGAGATTCATATACAGGATGGCCAATATAAAGGGTTGTCCAATAGGGACGCAGGAAAGTAAACGTCAATTTGACATAGACGCCATCTTTGTTTTCTGTCAACGACATGTCATTTTGTTAGTTGAATGTTTACCATTGATCGCTATGAAGTCGTATTCGATTGAAGACCGCATCAAAGTTATTCAAGAGCACTACAAAAATGGTGCTAAAATAAAACACACGTTTCGCGCGCTTCGTGAACATTTCGGTCGCAACAACCGCCCAAACGATACAACCATCGGTCGTCTGGTGCGTAAATTCGAGGCAACAGGTTCTGTGGCAAATCTGCCAGGCTCTGGCCGGCCAAGGAGCGTTCGCACACCGGAAAATATTGCTGTTGTGAAGGAGAGTGTGAGAGACGATCCGAAACAATCGACAACGCATCGATCCCAAGAATTGGGCATTTCGAGAACCAGTTTGCTCCGCATTCTCCAAAAGGATTTGAATGTACACGCCTACAAGATCCAATTGACGCAAGAGCTGCGTCGGGCCGACCATTTTTCGCGCCGAACGTTCTCAGATTGGCTCCTTGAACACCGCCAAATTGATGCCAATTTTTCATCAAAAATCATGTTCAGCGACGAAGCGCATTTCACTTTGAATGGGACGGTAAACAAGCAAAACTGCCGCATCTTGGAGAAACAAAAATCCCCGTGAGTATCAAGAGCAGCCGATGCATCCTCAAAAAGTGACTGTGTGGTTGTGCATTGTGGTCAAAAGGCATCATCGGACCTTACTTTTTCGAAAATGCGGCCGGGGACGCCGTTACCGTCAATTCTGAGCGATATCACGTGATGATAGAGGACTATTTTTTGCCGCAACTTGAATGAATGGATATGGACGATGTTTATTTCCAACAAGACGGTGCAACATGCCACATAACCAACGTCAATATCCATCGATTGCAGTCCTTTTTCGGTGATCGCGTGATTTCGCGCAGAAGAAATGTGCCATGGCCACCAAGATCGTGCGATTTGACTCCCTTGGACTTCTTTTTATGGGGATATTTGAAAAGCAAAGTCTACGTCAACAAACCAGCCACCCTCCAAGAACTCAAAAACAACATCATTGCCGAGATAAATGCCATAGAACCGACCATGTTGCAAAATGTCATTGAACATTTCGACCATCGCGTGGACGTCTGTAAATCCAGTCGTGGTGAACATTTGAGCGATATTATTTTTCATACATAAATGGTATAAATGAACCTTCAAAATAAAGTACCCTACTTGATTTGAATATATAACCCCATATAACAGACTGATTTAAATTGCGCATTTACACGCGTTTTATTTAAATAATGATTCGATCGCTGCAACTATTCGGAATCTTCGAAATGATGTGTCCAGTGTCAACACCATTCGTTAGTTGGTGCGGAAATTTGAACAAACAGGTGCAGTTAAAGGTTTGCCAAGGTCGGGGCGTGTTCAAACTGTTCGTACTCCGGAAAATATCGAGAGGGTTCGTGAAAGTGTAGTGGGGCGCCCTGAGACGTCTACCAGACATCGTTCTCAAGAACTGGGTATTCGTGGCACGTCATTATGCGCTATTTTAAGAAAAGACTTCCATTTGCGGCCCTACAAAATGCAGTGAACCCAAGAACTACAGCCTAGTGACCAGTTCAATACCCAAAATAACGATTTTTGCTGACAACTGATAATGAGCGATGAAGCCCACTTGGATATGAACGGAATTGTGGTATCTGGGCATTAGAGAACCCACGTGTCATCCATCAACGACCACTACATCCTCGTCGAGTCAGTTTGGTGCGGTGTTTGGTATGGATTACTTCTTTGAAGATGCTGCCGGTAATTCTCTTTCTGTCTCTGCTGAGATGAAAAAAAAATGGACGTATTTTGTTTCATTTCACAAATATTCAAGATACAAACCAGTCAGTTACATATCGGCCGCCCTGTTCATGGAGGATCCTATAATCGTTGTTTTATGCGATTCTCAAATTTATCCGATTGGATTGTAGGGAATCACATTTTCTATTTGCTCGTTTCCAAACGTCTTTGTGTAATTAAATTTTGATTTCGCTCGTCTTTTTCCTGAATTTGCACCTTTTCTTCCAATTTGAAGAAAATCGACGGATTCACATAAAATATTCATGTTCATGTCACATGTACACAAACATTCTAAAATAAAGCGACAAGACACTCATTCTTCAAAATATGGTAAACAGTCGCTTGTTGAGCAACAAACATCCTTCAAATAAGTGATTAATTGCGTCTCATTTCGGATAAGAAAAACTAATTTTAGACTGGAATTTTTTATGTGAAATCCTCTTGAAATGATAAGAGATCTACATTCAACAGTGGTAAAAGATCAACTTGTTGAAAATCTTGACGTTAGCCTGCAAATGGTTTTGCAATGACGTCAACCTTTTTTGTACAGAATCTTAGTAAACATATGCCCTAAGTTGTTAAACGAAGCTGGTTCTTATCCCAATGCCTGGAAAAGCATTTCTTACAAACAATTTGGCTTTTGATATTACTTTTTGTGACTTTTGTGAAGCTATGTAATTGTTAGTCTGCGGAGTAACATTTAATCCCATTACTGTGCGTACGCTGACGACGATCAAGTTTATTTTAGCTTTTTGTAAAAGGCAGAGCTGTAGCAGAACGAAATCTCAATGAAGAGCTTAAATCGATCAATATACAGGGTGACCGCAAAGTTGGGGTTTTCCTTTTCAGAAACAACTACCCTTGAAATAACAAAGGTAATGTGTAGAGAAACGAGGGCGACCAAGTAAAAAAAAAATAAAGGAAAAAGTACTCACTCTCCGGTTGGCGAGAAGGGCTAAGTACGTCTCTGCCCGAAATCATACCGCTCCAACAGAAAATGAAATCAGCTGATGCGCTACCGAGCAGACGCCGGCGGTGGTGCAGACCACGAACAGACGTAACAAATATGACGGCGTTACCGCGTTTTCAGTTTTTAGGTAAACGTACTTTATAGGTATTGTTCGAAGTTATCGCCGTTTGATTCAAAAACACAGGTGCGTGCACGACGTAGCCAAGCATCGGTGCAGGCTTTGAGAATGGAGTCCCTCCCCCGAATGAAAGCACCAGCTTGTTCAATTCTGAGACTTCAGTTTTGTGCACTAAGCGTGTCATTTCTCCCCGAAGAAAAAAATCACATGGTGCTAAGTCTGGAGATCGCGGAGGCCACGCTACGGGTCCATTACGTCCGATCCACCTATTCGGAAATAATTCATTCAAAAACTCACGCACTTCGCGTCTAAAATGGGGCGGTGCACCATCGTGCAGAAACCACATTGATTGTGATAATGGCACATCTTCTAACAAGGAAGGCAAAATGTTGCGTAAAAAGTCTTGGTATTGCATCCCGTCCAATCGATTTGGGAGAATAAATGGTCCAATGACCATGCCAGCCCAAACATTCACCGAAAATGTTTGTTGAAAATGTGCCCGACGGACATCGTGCGGATTTTCTACTGACCAAACATGAGTGTTGCGAAAGTTATTCACCCCATTACGCGTAAACGTAGATTCATCTGTCACCAATATGCACTTCAAAAAGTCCGGATTATTGTCAGGTTGATGCAACAACCACTCACAAAACCGCACTCTTGCTGGAAAATCGTCAGGTTGAAGGGCTTGTACACGTTGGACGTGAAACGGATACAGCCCCTCTTCACGCAGCGTTTGCCACACTTTAGTTTTTGATACTTGAACTTCTCTAACCACGTCTCTAGTGCTTGTTGAAGGATTCTCGTCTACGCGATTACCTCTACACGCGTGACCGTAACCGTCGGTTGAAGGTTGCATACTGACCTGACACACTGACCCCGACCCAGTTCTGCCGTCTGGTTGAGACCTTGTACCAGTCGGGAATATCGCGGCGGGTCGCGGCTACAGGACGGTATTCAGATATTTTTGATGTTGCAGAGCCCTTTATCTCGGTTCCCTTAAGACATTGGTGTATATGGTACTAAGAAAAATTGCTTATGTTTTCAAGATCTACACGTCGTGTAAAGGAAAACCCCAACTTTGTATTATTCGAGCAGCACAACTTGAAGCTCAATTCTATCATCGAGTTTAAGCTGATCTGGAAATGCCGTTCGTTGACATTTCTTTCTATTTATACAGGGTATCTCAAAACGCAAAATGTGCCATTTCTCAAAAATTTCAATTGTATGTTTCTACATCGTTAAAAAGGTTTCTTGTTGGACATTTTTTATGATTTTTCCAAACGTTTTTGAGTTATTGCTGTTAATTTCAAGAAAAACCAAATGTAAACATGAAATTAAATCTTCTATCAAAATAATGATTTTTATTAACGCAGGAAAAGTAATATCAGCCTAAGAATCGTTAATAAATTCTTGGAAAATAATTATATTACCTTGATGCAAAGCCTGTTGGAATTGTTTAAAAGGGTTTGTCTAGGTGTCCTCCTAAACGATGTTTCAGGTCCTTCGGTGTTGTAGGATTCTCCTGGTAATCCTCTCCTAACACCAAAGTCGAGAGGCGTCAGATCGGAAGATCTCACTGGCCAATCCGCCTCTCCCTATCCAATTATTTATTATGACACCAGCAGTCTAGATACGGTTCTAAGAGCTATTCAAATATGCCATAAAGAATAAGGTATTCTATTTAAAAAATACATGTTTGCTGCGGCACAAAGTTACGGAACACCTTGTTTTGAATTGCCTGTTCAATTTAAAACAAATTTAGCAATAAATATCTATGTTGCTCTGAAATATGTCACTGACTTTTGACAGTTGACAAGTCTCTGTTATTAAAATCTGTTCGCTGCGACATCTTTTTCATTATTTAGTTTTTACAATCTTGTTAATAATGGTGAATTATTCAAAAGCAGAAAAGGCGGAAATGCATTACGTATATGGCCTTGCCGACGGTAATGGTGAGCAAGCCAGAGATATCCCGATCGTTCTTTGCCAGATACTCGAACCTTTTCTAATATTCATCGTCGTCTTGTTGAAACTGGTTCTGTCCGAAAAGGAACATCTGAAGATAGACCTCTCAGTGTGAGAACACCTGAAATTGAGGAAACAGTGCTGCACGAAGTCGAAGAATATCGAATATTGAACTGATTGCTCTATTACTCCTTGCGTTTTTGTTAAAGGGAACGAGAGTCCGTCTTTCAGCGGAAATGCAGCGTTTACTGGAGGTCAGCAGGAACTGCCCAATGAGATATCAGCTCCGTATGAAGTGCCTCAATTCCCCATCGAACAGATCGAGAAAAAATTGGCGATACAAAGGCAAATAAACACTAAGTGAGTATCCTCAAATTTACTGGGCAAACGAACGTTCGAATAGCGACGATCAACGATATAAAAACTAGGTTGTGTCAGCCGAAAATATCATCAATTATATAAACGTATTCGTCTAAAAAAATATCAAAAATAAAATGAGAAACCGTCATCCATGAGAATTTGTCACAGCTGTTTCTCTCCATCTCTTTCTCTCTGGCCAAGAGTTATACAACTTTGGAACTAGAACTGTAAGGATCTGATATTTGGTTTCAATCTTTCCAATTGTTGTAACGTAACTAAGAAAGGCGCAAACGCAACATAATTCAAATACCATTACCCCAAATCATCAGGCAGCCATAACAAAACAAGATCGTGTGCGATCTGAGCATGTCAGAAACCACGATTCCCGCCAAAATGACGAAACAGCTGACCGATAATCCCCAACTAGGTTTTACGCTTGCGTTTCCTCCGCTGCGCATGCTCGGTCGGTTTTAAACGTGTTGAAAATGAGATGCTAGAACACGGTTATGTAGTCGGCTTTATCTTGCTTTCACCCTGTGTTTAAATCCTTTTAGTTAGCACGCTTCTGTGACCGTGAAGGAGATGGGGCTCGTCAAGCGATAGGGATTAGTCGCAAGCCGTGCGGGACATGCGTTGCAACACAAAGTTTGATCGTGATACGTTACGAACTAGATTTCAACCAGATTGTGTATATGCTTTGACATGGTGCGTTTTTGAGTGTGGTCATAGAATTAACCAAGTTATTTTATGGTGCGATTGTGATGTTCGGATATGCTTCACAGTGGACGACTCCGTTTCGGCCCTACGATATGTAATTAGAGAATAGAAAACGATTCATTTAGATTTAAACTTCGAACAATAATAAATATTGATCACAAAAAATGTGTTGATTGCCCGAAGTGGTCGTCACGTCTTATCAAAATTAGTCTAATCACATAGGACGAAAATGTAAAGTCTGGTTTTATTGCTGCAAGTTGTTCAAGGAAGTATTCAAAATATGGACGCATAAAATTTGTACATCAACGTTTTCTCATTGTTTGTTGTCGAGTAAAAAGTTTTCCCACACAAAACGGTGTACCCATTTTATGCGTCTGTGTTTTAACTACCCCCTTGAACAACTTGCAGCAATAAAACCAGACTTCACAATTATTTCGTCTAATATGATTAGACTATACGCCATTATATCTTTACTAGAGTTTTGGAAGAGAGAAAAAGTCACTATGAACCGTCAGTTCCCGGGGTAACAGCTTCAATAGATGACTTAGATGACCATGACTTGTACGTGCCACATTTTCAGAGGGTGTCGATATCCGGAGAAGACACCAGTGGGGTAAGTTCTTATATCATGGTTGTATAGTTTCTATTTTTTAATTTATATGTTAGCCAAGAGGTTAAGGCAGGTATCAAATTGTAGTTCTGAAATTCGGAATCTACATATATAAGGACGTGGATAAGCTTAAGACGTAAAATTTCGAGATTTTAAAACATTCCAAAATGAGTATTGAAAAATGTGAAAATCTGAAACTAAAAAATAATAAAAATTTTCGTTGTACTGTAGATTCATGAAAGTGTTGAAGATTTTGGAAATTTTGAAACTTTTGAAAGATAAAAAATTTTAATATTTTGAAAATTGTCAAAACATTAAAAATTTCAAAAATGAAATTGAAATTCTTGAAAGTGTTGAAGGATTCCAAGAAATTTGAAGACTTTGAACACTGAAGATCTTGAAATATGCAAATTTTGAAAATGTGAAAAAGTTGGGAATAATTTGAAATTTGTATCTTTTGAAAATCCTGCGAATTTTGAAAACTTTGAAACTCATGACAATAAGAAAATTGAATGCTTTTGTAGTTTTGAAGATCTTCGAATGTATTGGAGGTATTTGAAACTGAAAATTTAGAAAATCTTGGAAATTTAGAAAAAATCCAAAACTAAAAAAAATTGAAAATATTGGAAAGTTGTCAATATATTCAGAGTTTGAGGAAAGAAATTGAAATTTTTGAAAGTGTGCAAGACTGAGAAATGAAAAAATTAGAAATTGTATCTTTTGAAAATCCTGCTAATTTTGAAAATTCAGAAAATCATGGAAATTAAAAAAATGTTTGAAGTTTCCAAATTTTCAAAAAAATCCAATATTTTCAAAATGTCCACTTTTAAAAATTTTCATGTGTCAAAATTTTCATTATTCAATATTTTAAAAATCCTCAAAATCTTTCAAGAATCTTTAAAACCTTGCCAATTTTATTTTTTCAAATTTGAAGATTTTAAAAATCATAACTATAACTTTCACAATTTTCAAGATTTTCAAAACTTGGAAATTTTTGAAAACTTTAAATTTTATTTACAAATATTTGAAGAAAAATCATTAAGGTTTTTTAAGTCTTGAAAAATCTGAAAATTTTGAATATATCGAGAATTTTGTAAGTTTTGTATGAATCTAAATGTATTTTGAAAATTCTGCAAACTAATAAATGCGAAATCTCTGGAATTTTTGAAAATTTAAAAATGTTCAAATTTTTTGTAGTTTTGCAAATTTTTAAAATCGTCAAAATATTAAAAACTTTTCAAAATCAAGTTTTTAAAAATTTCTATAATAGACAATTTTTATTTCGAAAATCTTGGAAATTTCTTAAATCTTGGAAATGCTGAAAATTTTTTAAATTTTGATAATACTGAAAATTTTGATTATTTTGAAAGTATTAAAAATTTTGGAAAATTTCAAAACTTGGAAATTTGGGAATGTTTGAAAATTTTGGATACGTTGGAAATTATTTATTTTGATCTGTGATTTAAGACTCATATTCTTATTAAATTTTAACTAAAATTTAACCGATATATATTTATAACTTCACATTATTTTAATTAGGTTTACGCAGCTTAAAAATTCCGACAACAGCGCTGAATAAGGAAAAATAATCTTATAGAATAACCCCTCTCTATTCTCCATATACAGGGTGTCCGCAAAGTTGGGGTTTTCCTTTACACGACGTGTAGATCTTGAAAACATAAGCAATTTTTCTTAGTACCATATACACAATGTCTTAAGGGAACCGAGATAAAGGGCTCTGCAACATCAAAAATATCTGAATACCGTCCTGTAGCCGCGACCCGGGACATCACCGATTGGTACAAGGTCTCAACCCGACGGCAGACCTGGGTCGGGGTCAGTGTGTCAGGTCAGTATGCAACCTTCAACCGACGGTTGCGGTCACGCGTGTAGAGGTAAACGAACCCATATAATCGATTGCGTTTCAAAAAACAACAAGCACTAGAGACGTGGCTAGAGAAGTGCAAGTATCAAAAACTAAAGTGTGGCAAACGCTGCGTGAAGAGGGGCTGTATCCGTTTCACGTCCAACGAGTACAAGCCCTTCAACCTGACGATTTTCCAGCAAGAGTGCGGTTTTGTGAGTGGTTGTTGCATGAACATGACAATAATCCGGACTTTTTGAAGTGCATATTGGTGACAGACGAATCTACGTTCACGCGTAATGGGGTGAATAACTTTCGCAACACTCATGTTTGGTCAGTAGAAAATCCGCACGCTGTCCGTCGGGCACATTTTCAACAAACATTTTCGGTGAATGTTTGGGCTGGCATGGTGAACGGTATGCTCATCAGCTGATTTCATTTTCTGTTGGAGCGGTATGATTTCGGGCAGAGACGTACTTAGCCCTTCTCGTCAACTGGAGAGTGAGTACTTTTTCCATTATTTTTTTTTACTTGGTCGCCCTCGTTTCACTACACATTATCTTTGTTATTTCAAGGGTAGTTGTTTCTGAAAAGGAAAACCCCAACTTTGCGGACACCCTGTATAACGGAGCTTTGTTATTTTGATAATGGATAACGAAGGTTTGTCCTGCTGCTGTGCAGAATCGAAATAAGGAAGCAAGGGCACTAAAAACTCTCAAATAATAGATCACCTATTTTACGAAACGGTCGACGATATAATAGATCATGAATACTTACAAGGATAGGAAGCCATACTACTTAAGTCAAGTTCTTGGAAAAACACTTTTAGCTGTAGCAGGTTTTTATATATCGTTGAACTCTCATCAGATTTCGAAATAAAACATACCATGTCTAAAAGACCTGCCTGCAGAATAGGCATTTTCGTAAAAGTTTCCATATACTTATGGTGAAAATCGCCTTATAATATAATATAATAATGCTGGAAAATCAAGGTGCTTATTTAAGTTTTCGCTTTGACTCTGATACTTTCCAGAGTACATTTCGCGTTTCTATTATTGCAGGTCCCTCTGGAAGATTTGGAAAGAGCATCAAAGTTACTAATAAAAGCATTAGAAATAAGGAAACAGTATATGAAAGTGTCGTTTCAAAGCTTCTCATCTACTGCAGCCCGATTTTTGGATCCCAATAAAGAACAACAACACCACGACGAGAGACAGTCAATAGAAGGTAGGTTTCGATTATTTTTGCGTAGGAAAAGTGCTGATTTTTGGTAGCCTGGTAGAATTGTGTTCAGTTAGATTCGGTAATGTACAAAATATTGTGACGTTATTATTCAATGTTGATATTTTTTCCTAACGATATATATTTTTGTTTTGTCATTTAACCATTTAGGATTTATATTTGCTTCAAGGTCGTAACAACGTACCATCCAAATTTTATACATTCTGATTCGAAGAGTAATTTATAGATAAGAATCAATATTTGAGATTTGAAAAACATTATTTTTTCTAACACTCGCCTCACTCTTTTAAGCATGTAATGTTTCTGATATACCTCGACGTATTTTTATATGTACATTTCTCTGTTTTATTATTTTGTAAAAAGTAGATGAACCAACCCTTTACAGCGATCCATCGTCTGACTGACAAAAAAATAAGCTCTGGTTGTAGCATTCTTAGTCGCTCTATTTTGGCGATGGCTACAAAAACCTTAGAATATAACTGTGTCTATGTCAGACGATGGATCAAAGATACATCCCCAGACTCTACAAAAAACCCTTCACCTTATCCTCACCCATAGCATGTTGTGAATTTAGATAAAGATTATGCTGAGCTCCTGTCCAGAACTGCCCGATCTTCATTTGATGATTTTAATGTGTATTCGCTGACAGAAGACGACATCCAAAAATTGTTAACTAACGGTATCAAAGGTAATGATGTTGGCAATCATCCAAGTTTTTTTTTGTTTTTATTTTTCGTATCTGACACTCTAGATGTAGATGTGTTTTGTACTACTATCCTCTATATGTTCAAGCAAGGTACTCGTGTTCCTATCGTGTTCTAGAACTAAGAATAAAGTATACAGTTATTTGAGTATCAACAAGACAGTTTAGTTCTTTCCTAATTAATTTTTTTAAAGGATAAACGGTGAAATAATAAAGCTATAAGAATTATATTGAATAAAAATAAGTACATCAAAATAAAATGTACGTTGCAAGAATTTCAGTGGTTGAATATAAAAAGTTTGTTATATTTGGTTCTTATTTTTATATTTAAAATAAAAATCATCTTTTGCCACATCATTTAGAACATTACATTGAATTATTATATAAAAGGGAATATAGATATTTTAAAATCATGGGAGGTTTCGCGAATTTCAGTAGTTCAAGAATTTCGAGAATGTTGACAATTTTAGCGCTTCGAAAATTTCGAGAATTTCAATTATTTTGAAAGTTTCGAAAATATCGAGGATTGAAAACGAGCATTTCTCGACTTTTGAGTAATTCGAGAACTTCGAAGATTTTTACTAATTCCGAGAAATTCCGAGACTTCGAGAAATATAGGAATGTTTTGTTTTAGAACATTACATAGAATTATTTTATAAGAGGAGATATAGGTATTTTAAAATCATGGGTGGTTTCGCGAATTTCAGTAGTTCAAGAATTTCGAGAATGTTGACAATTTTAGAGCTTCGAAAATTTCGAGAATTTCGTGTTTTTTTTGTAAGATTTCGAAAATATCGAGATTTGAAAACGAGAATTTCAAGATTTTTGAGTAATTCGAGAACTTCAAAGATTTTTATTAATTCCGAGAAATTCGAAGACTTCGTGAAATATATGAATTTTGTGTTTTCACAATTTTTCGATTATCGAGAATATAGAGATTTCCGTGAATTTCTGAAACTTGTTTTTTTTTTTGTTTTTTTTTCATATCTGAGACTCTATCGTGGCCTGCCATGGCTTTAGATATGGTACCCGACATCCAGCTATTTCTAGAACTAAGCATAAAATATACAGTTAATCCGTCGAGTGTTATTTGAGTGTCATCAACAAGACGTTTTAATTATATGCAAATTATTTTTCACAATAAAGGATAAACTTTGAATTAGCTGAAAAAGTTGAATTAATCAAATATTTCAAAAATTGCCAAAATAATACTTTTATAGGGCTTCTCGTAGTCTTTGTTCACTGCAAGAGAAGCGTATTCTCAAAACTGCAGGCCCTACAAAATAAAGCTATAAGAATTATGTTGAATAAAAATAAGTACATCAAAATGAAATTTATGTTACAAGAATTGAATATAAAAAAAATCGTTTCATACTTGGTTCTTATTTTTTATATTTATAATAAAAATCATCTTTTGCCACAACATTTAGAACATTACATAGAATTATTATATAAGAGGAAATATAGATATTTTAAAATCACTGGAGGTTTCACGAATTTCAGTAGTTCAAGAATTTCGTGAATGTTGACAATTTTAGAGATTCGAAAATTTCGAGAATTACAAGTTTTTTGAAGGTGTCGAAAATATTGAGGATTGAAAACGAGAATTTCGCAATTTTTGAGTAATTCGAGAACTTCGAAGATTTTTACTAATTCCGAGAAATTCGAAGACTTCGAGAAATATAGGAATGTTTTGTTTTAGAACATTACATAGAATTATTTTATAAGAGGAAATATAGATATTTTAAAATCATGGGAGGTTCCGCGAATTTCAGTAGTTCAAGCATTTCGAGAATGTTGACAATTTTAGAGCTTCGTAAATTTCGAGAATTTCAAGTTTTTTAAGGTTTCGAAAATATCGAGATTTGAAAACGAGAATTTCGCGATTTTTGAGTAATTCGAGAACTTCAATTTATTAATTCCAAGAAATTCAAAGACTTCGAGAAATATAGGAATTTTTTGTTTTCACAATTTTGCGATTATCGAGAATATAGAGATTTCCGTGAATTTCTAAAACATCGTTTTGTTTGTTTTTTTTCATATCTGACACTCTAGATGTAGATGTGTTATGTACTACTATCCTCTATATGTTCCTAGCGTGGCCTGCCAGGGCTTTAGATATGTTACCATACATCCAGCTATTTCTAGAACTAAGAATAAAATATACAGTTAATCCGTCAAGTGTCAACAACAAGGCATTTTAGTTTTATGCAAATTATTTTTTACAATAAAGGATAAACGGTGAAACAGTTGAAGTTGAATCAATCGGATATTTCAAACATTGTCAAGAAAGATATTATCATACAAGAGGAAATATAGATTTCCATTTATAAAATTGCAGTAGTAATAGCAACTCAGTATTTCGGAAGGGATTACTTGAATTTGATAAACTTTAAGTCTCCTTTAGTTTATTATAATTGTTATTAAGAACTTATGAATTTTACCTTGCTCGCACATGCCACAATTTCCTTACAAGACAGGATTTTTGCGAATAAACCATTTTCCATGTATCAACATCGACATCTGTCTGAAATTTTGAGCCAACATGTCTGACGCATTTGATTTTTGACATTGTGTTGTACACCTAAACTGTCTTCGCATCATCTTTATAAAGTGTTGTTGCTTACACAATAATATTACTACTGTATTAATCTTGTTTGAATAATACGAATCATTTTAATATGTATTATAAATAAATGCGTTTATTTAATCCTTTACTAACTTTGGGGTGTATTTGATTTTAGGTCATTCGTTACATTGTACTGTGAATATGTATACTTTATGAAAAGTATCCATCTTCCCACAACAATGACTATTTCCAAATTCCTGTCCTTTTTTTATTTCTTCCTAAACCGTTATTTTCCTTTAGATCGGGTACTGTCTTCGCTTCTGCTCTGAATAACAGTGATTCGTTTTTTTGCATAATCTTATTCCAAAACGACTATTTGGGGTTCTTCTCTTCATCCCGCACTGTCAACGCGGGTGTTCCTCAGGGATCAGACTTGGCTCCGACATTGTTTCTCTTACATATCAACGACTTCCTTTCCTAGACGATTAATCTGACCCACAGATTTGTTTGAAGAGAGAATTGTTCAAACTTTTTTGTGCCAAGATTATGCAAAAAGCAGAGGCATAGATATTTCCTGGACTACTTGTTACGATTCGATAACAAAACTGGTTTGAGTATAGCTCGTCTTCTCTCTGTTTAGATCACGGTATCCATCCGCCGGAACACAAACCCTGGGAAGCACCTGTAGTTCCTGATACGGATCACGTGTTCAAAAACAACAACGGCGTCTATAATGTCTACGTGAATGAGCAACATTTGAAGGATGGCAAACCTTGTGACTATGAGTACCCTGACGTTGTCAAGTTCACAACGGACTTTTATGAAATGTGCAACATGATTGCAGATGGTCCACTGTAAGCAAATTCCATAATTTTAGAAATATTTTAGGATATCTCAAAATCATGCGAGGTTTCGCGAATTTCAGCAGTTCAAGAATTTTGAGAATGTTGACAATTTGAGAGCTGCGAAAATTTCGAGGATCGAAAACGAGAATTTCGAGATTTTTGCTTACATAATTCGGGAACTACAAAGATTTTTGTTAATTCCGAGAAATTCGAAGACTTCGAGAAATATAGGATTTTTTTTGACAATTTTGGGATTATCGAGAATATAGAGATTTCCGTGAATTTCGAAAACTTGGTGAAATTTCTTAGAAATTCGAGAATTCGAAAATGTCGGGACCTGTTTCGCGATCTCGGACACTTTCGAGGTTTTGACAGGTCTTAAACTCTTGAGAATTGCGATAATGTCGTGGAACCCGAAAACTTCAAAATTTTCTAGAAATTTCAGATTTGATATTTTTTGAATGCTCTAATGAATTAAGTGAATTTTATAAATTTTGAGAAATGGAGATTTTGGTGAATATCGGGAATTACAAGAATTTTGTCGATTTCAAATATTTTGGTAACGAGACTTGAAAGTGGATAACATCTTTACATTTGAAAGTTTGTTATTAAGCTCGTAGGGCAGATACCAAAATAATACTTTCTTCTTTAGAAAATCGTCCTGATACTGTCGTCTCAACTGCCTGTGCAATGTATTTCCATGTATTTCGAGAATATAAAAACCTCATGGAATGTCCAGATTTTTGCTAACTTTGAGAATTCCGAGTATTTCGAGAAGTTTCAAACTTAACAATTATTATTAATTGAAAATAGATTGGTAAGCACATGAGACAAAGCTGCCAAAATAGTATTTTCTCTTTCAGTAAATCATTGTTACCGTTGCCTCGTTTACCTGTCCTCAAAATTCCAACTTCATGTGGTGAATTTAAAGAATACTGTAAACTTAGAGTTTCGAGAAATTTGAAAATTTTAAGATTTTCATATTTGAAAATTTTTGACCAAACCCGTGAAGCAGATAGTACTTTCTCTTTCAGAAAGTCGTTCTGTCACCGCCGTCTCAGCTGCCTGTGGTCAAATTTCACGTAATTGCATGTATTTCGAGATTTTTAAAACTTTTCAGATCTTAGATAAATCCGAGTATTTTTAGATTTTGGAGAATTTAATGAATTTCGAGATTTTTTTAAACATTGAGGACTGCAAGTACTTCGAGGAATTCGATATTTGAGGAATTTCGAGAATTTGGAGATTTTGTATAATTTAAAAAAGTTATTAAACATTTTGAGGACTTTGTGAAAATCTACTTACGAATTATTAAGACGCCGTCGTCTCACCTACCTGTGCTTCCAACTTCGCGCAATTCCGTGTGTTTCGAGAATTTCAAAACTTCGGGATTTTCCTTAAATTCGAGAATTTTTGGATTTTGGTAATTTAATATATATCGATCTTTTCGAAAATCTCTAGAATTCCGAGCACTTTGAAGAATTCGAGAACTTGGAAAACTCCTAGACCTTGGGAGAATTTCAGGAACTTTGAAAATGTTGAAAATATAAAGACTTTCAAGTACATGGAAATTTACGAGAATTCGTGATTTTGCCGAATTTTAAGAAATTTTTTATCAGAAATTTCGTGGACTGAGAACATTGAGATTTCCGAGGATTTCAAGAAGTTATTTATATATATTATTAGGTCATCGTCGACTCAGTTATTTTGCTCGAAATTCCAACTTTACATAATTCCATGTATTTCGAGATTTTCAAAACTTCGAGAGCTTCGATAAATTTGAGAATTTTTATATTTCGGAAAATTTAATATAATATTGAGATTTTCGAATTCCTAGCACTTCGAAGAATTCGTGAAGTTGGGAAACATCGAGATCTTTGTTATTTTGCTCGAAATTCCAACTTTACGTAGTTCCATGTATTTCGAGATTTTCAAAACTTCGGGATCTTCGATAAATTTGAGAATTTTTATATTTCGGGGAACTTAATATAATATTGAAATTTTCGAATTCCTAGCACTTCGAAGAATTCGTGAAGTTGGGAAACTTCGAGATCTTTGAGAATTTCAGGAACTCTGAAAATGTTGGGATTTTGGAAAATATAAAGATTTCAAGTACATGAAAAATTTCGAGAATTCGAGATTTTGCGGAATTTCAAGATACGTTTGATCAGAAATTTCGAGGACTGAGGACGTTGAGATTTCTGAGGACTACTAGATGTTCGAAACTTTTAAATTACGAGTATTAGGACATCGTCGTCTCAGCTATTCTGCTCGGAATTCCAACTTTACGTAATTCGAGAATTTCAAAACTTTTGGATTTTTGATGATTTTAAGAATTTTTAATTTTGGAGAATTTAATGAATATCGATATTTTTGAAAATCTTTAGAATTCCGAGCACTGCGAGGAATTCGAGAACCTGGAAAATTTCAAGATCTTGAAAAATTTCAGGAAATCTGAAAATATTGTAGTATGGTAGTAAGTACATGGAGAATTATGAGAATTTCGAGATTTTGCCGAATTCAAAAAATGTTTAGCATCAAAAATTTCGAGGACTTGCGAATATCGATATTTCGAAGATTTCAGGCTTAAACATTATCTAGACATTATTTTCTCTTTCAGAAAATCATTTTGTTACCGCCGTCTGAGTTACCTATCATCGAAATTCCAACTTCATGTGCTACTGAACGAATTGCGAGAGCTAGCGTCCCAGAAGGCTGTACCTCACAGAGATTTCTATAACATCCGCAAAGTGGACACTCATATACACGCCGCGTCCTGCATGAATCAAAAACACCTGCTGCGATTTATCAAGAAAACCTTGAAAAACAACGCCGATGAGGTGGTGACAGTCACGAACGGAGTTCCTATGACCTTGAAAGAAGTGTTCCAAGTAAAGTTTTCATGTGATTTTTGATGCTTCTCGCTTGCGTTGTGATTTTATGCATGGTGTTTTTCGTCACTAATACGACGTTTTGTGGAGTTTCGTAAATTTTGAAAAGAATTGCGTTAAAGGTAGTTATGATTCACTATGTCAAAATAAAAATATATATTTCAATCAGGATGATATTGATTGCTACAATTTTTTTCTTTCACTTTGTGTATTGTATTATTTCCATATTTTCATCGAATTTGAGTTTCTGGATATTATAATATTTTTTATTGAAATAAGAAGTGATGAAAACACCATCAAATTACAATGCCCCTAAAACTTGCTTCATGCTTACTCATCAAATTCAAGTCATTTTTAATGTCACACAGTACTTTAAGAAAGGATAAGAATCGTTTCTTGATAGGTTTTTGATTGCTATGAAACTATGCTGTCTACCTGCAAAATAATGCAACTCATATTTGTTTATGTGAGATGTGTGGAATCAATAATTTATGAGTAACTGCTTGTTCTTATGCTTTCTACATTCTTTTCAATTGCATGACTGTATTTTCTTGCTTCATGTTTTTTTTTCTTTCACTCATAACATTTTCATGGATATGGCTAAACAATCGGTGAAGCTTTTTTGCAATAAAATTATTAGTGTGGATCTCAACGATTGTATTTTTTTGTAGTTTATTTGTGCCCGATTGCGATATCTACTCTTCATTTTACGTTTCAAAGTTACATTTTTTAGATATAGGTATAATTTTTGTTCCATCAAAATTAAAATAAAAAGCTGAAGTATGTTCCAATGTTCGTTTAAAATATTTTTCTTATCTGAAAGCCTGGCAAATGGTTAGGAATTATTTGAGAAAAAATGTTTCACTTAATTATTTTGCAAATAAGTAACGTAGATATCGGATTAAAGGTACAAAGACATTTAGAAGTAGATAATGTTGCTGAAATTTATATATGTATTTGAAGATGGATAATTTTGTAGGATTTTGATGACTTAGATGAAAGACCAAAAGACAGCATAGTAAGTAGTTTCAGCTTTTTTGTCATAGGTTTCGGCCATTAATCTCAACCATCTGTTTTATAGTCCAGGAAAGACCCAAAAAAACTTTGTCCACAGCAAAAAACAATTTTTAAATATAAGTTACGACCTTAGGCAAAATCAAGATTTTAAATTAGTAGTACTTAAAACAACACTTGTGAAAGGCTCAATAATTTATATGGTTTACACATTAAAAACTTTTTAATATGTAAACCATGTTATAACCCGTGTGAGTTTTACGATCCACCTACTTGAGATCCACATAATTATGCAAAAAAATCCATCTAATAAATTGGGTGTCTCTCAAGGATGCGTTCTGGGACCACTCCTTTCATTATTTCTATTAACGATTTACTTTGTGGCTCACACGTATCATTGAGCTTACGGCCTAAACCTATGAAAAACAAACTATCGAATCATACTAACTGAATACCGCAAAAGATCATTTCACATAGACACGCAGGATGTTCTCGGCGAGCGATCTAAACGATTCTTTTTTAGTCAATGAATCTGACAACGTACGATTTGACGGTGGACATGTTGGACGTTCACGCAGATAGAAATACGTTCCATCGTTTCGATAAGTTCAACGCAAAGTACAATCCGATTGGCGAGAGCAGACTGAGAGAGGTGTTTCTGAAAACGGACAACTATTGCAATGGAAAGTACTTTGCTAATATTATCAAGGAAGTTGCTAGCGATTTGGAGGAGTCCAAGTACCAGAACGCAGAGCTTAGGTTAGTCTCATCTCGTATGTAATTTTAAAAGTTCCTCTTTTAATAATGGTAAACTTTTATATATGACCTTGCAGAATAAAAAGTTGTATATAAAAGTTATAGGGTCTAATATGGAGTTTTTCAGTCTCAGGCTATTTGAATTCGTCGGATATACAGAAGGCAAATTAAAATTTTTGAAATTCTTGGTATTTTTTCTTGTTCTAGGTTGAGCATTTATGGCAAAAGCAGGGACGAATGGGATAAACTAGCAAAATGGGCTCTCCAGTCCAATGTATATTCTGATAACGTCCGCTGGTTGGTTCAGATTCCAAGATTATTGTAAGTAACCAATTTTATTCATTTTTCACTTAACCAAGAGACATGTTTTGACCATTTCTTGGAGATTTCCATCAATCCTTTCAAACTTTTGAAGATTTTCAGTATACAAAATTCATTTTCGTCTCTGGTTGTTTCAGATGAACGAAATTCTCCTCTTGAAAACTGAGAATTTTGAAAGTTTTGAAAATTCTGGAAATTTAAAAAATCATGAAAATTCTCAGTAGGTGTCTTCAAAATTTTGAAAATTGCATATTTTGAAAGTTTTTACAACTTTTGAAAATTTGAAGATTTTGAAAAATTTTGCAATTTTGGATATTGAATATTCTGAAAATTTTGCGAATCCGTAATTTTGGAAATGCTGGAAATATTGAAAACATTGCAATTTTGAAAATTTTCAAAATTCGAAAGTTTTTGAAAACTGATAATTTGGAAGGCAATTTTGAAAATTATGGCATTTTCGTTTTTGAAAATTTTGATTTTTCTTAAATTTTGAGAATTTGAAATTTTGGAGATATTGAAAAAATTTTGAGAAATTGTGAAATTTTAAAATGTTCAAATTTTGAAAATTTTATTGATTTTTAAAATTTTTATAATTTTGAAAATGTTTAATATTTGGAAGTTGTCACTTTTGAAAATTTTGCAAACATATTTTTGAAAATTTCAATTTTAAAAATTCTGAAAATTTTTGAAAACTGATAATTTGGAAGAAGGCAGTTTTGAAAATTACGGCATTTTCATTTTTCAAAATTTTGATTTTTCTTAAATTTTGAGAATTTGAAATTTTCGAGATGCTGAAAATTTTGAGAAATTTTAAAATTTTAAAATGTTCAAATTTTGAAAATTTTAACGATTTTTAAAATATTTATAATTTTGAAAATGTTTAATATTTGGAAGTTGTCACTTTTGAAAATTTTGCAAACATATCTTTGAAAATTTCAATTTTAAAAATTCTGAAAATTGTGAAACAATTCCTTTAAAAATTTGGAAAATTTGAAATTTCGAAAATTCTGAAGAATCTGAAAATTTTGAAAATGTCCAAAATTGCTATTGATTTTGAAAATTTTGGATATGGTGAGGTTTTTAAGAATTTTAAAATTTTTAAAATCTTACCAACCTTAAAAATTCTGAGAATTTTGAATATTCGGTAGTTTTTTAACGTTAGAAAATTTTGGTTTAGAAGAACCTTGGAAATTTCCAAACTATAGGTTTTGAATATTCAGATAATTCTGAAAGTTTTGTAGATTTTGAAAATTGGAAAAATGTCAGAATTCTGAAATTCTATATAGATGTCTTGATCATTTTGGAAACTGCATATTTGGAGAATTTTGGAAATTTTGAGAATTTTAAAATTGTGAAAATATTGAAAGTTCCAAAAATTTTAGTATTGAAAATTTTGGCAATTTTGTTATTTTTGAAAATTTTAATTTTGATAATTTTAATCATTCTGAAAATTTTGAGAATTTGAAATTTTTAAAATCATGATTTCGAAAGTTTTGAAAATATTTAAATATTGAATATTTTGATTTCATAGATTTCTAATATTTGGAGGTTGCAAATTTTGGTAATTTTATTTTTGAAAATTTCAATTTAAAAATTTCTGAATATTCAAACATGATAATTTTGAAAATTTGAAAATTTTGAAAATCGTGAAAATTTGAAATTTAGAAAATTCTGAAAAATTAGAAAATTTCTCAGAATTTTAAAATGTTGGAAATTTTTAAAATCTTACCAATCTTAAAAATTCTGAGAATTTTGAATATATTTATACGTTTTTGAAATTCCGACAATCTTGGTTCAGAAGAATTTTCAAAATTTTGGTTTTGAAATTTCAGGTAATTCTAAGAGTTTTGTGGATTTTGAAAATTAGGATAAATGTGAGAATTCTGAAATTCTCAATAGATGTCTTGACCATTTTGGAAACTGCAAATTCTGGGAATTTTGGCAATTTTGAAAATTTTAAAATCTCGAATTTTGACAGTCTTGAAATTTTTGGAAATTCTGCTAATTTTGTTATTTTAGGAAATTTCAATTTACAAAATTTTGGAAATTTTGGAATTTGTAAATTTTGTAAAACTTGAAGATTTCTTAGAATTTAAAATGTTGAAAATTTTGATAATCTTGGTAATTTTGGAAATTTTGAAAATATTGAAAATTTTTGTTTTGAAAATTCTGATGATCCTGAAAGTAGTGATTTTAAAAATCAGTAAAAATTTTGAATATATTTATACGTTTTTGAAATTCCGACAATTTTGGTTCAAAAGAATTTTCAAAATTTTGGTTTTTGAATTCTAAGAGTTTTGTGGATTTTGAAAATTAGGATAAATGTGAGAATTCTGAAATTCTCAATGGATGTCTTGAACATTTTGGAAACTGCAAATTCTGGGAATTTTGGCAATTTTGAAAATTTTAAAATCTCGAAAATTTTGACAATCTTGAAATTTTTGGAAATTCTGTTAATTTTGTTATTTCTGGAAATTTCAATTTACAAAATTTTGGAAATTTTGGAGTTTGTAAATTTTGTAAAACTTGAAGATCTCTTAAAATTTAAAATGTTGAAAATCTTGGTAATTTTGGAAATTTTGAAAATATTCAAAATTTTTGTTTGGAAAATTCTGATGATCCTGAAAGTTGTGATTTTGAAAATTAGTAAAAATTTTAGAATTTCTTAACTTTTGAAAATCTGTTGAACGTATCTGTAAAGTACAAATGTTAAATTTCCACTTGAGGGTAACTCAGGGGTGGGTTACTACTCGTTTAAAATCCAGGGATTGATTGACCCTCAGCCTGAACTCAGCCCACAAGGATCGGCCATAACAAAAAGACATCAATTTTTTATTTATGAAGTTATTGAAAATAGTACTCGTATTTATCTCAACAGATGCTTTGTCTATCATCTGAACCTCCTCTTTTCTTCCAGCGATATCTTCAAGTTAAACAAAGTCCTCGACAACTTCCAGGAAGTGATAGACAACATATTCCTTCCACTGTTTGAAGTCACAGCCAAACCTTCAACACACCCCGACCTCTACAAGTTCCTCCAATACGTGATAGGTTTCGACTCTGTCGACGACGAAAGCAAACCTGAAAGAAACCCCTTATTCGACAAAGACACACCTACTCCAGAACAATGGAACGATACTGAGAACCCCAACTATGCGTATTATCAGTATTACATTTACGCCAACCTTGCTGTTTTGAATCACTTTAGGAACGAGAAAGGGTTGAATCCTTTCGTATTGAGACCACATTGTGGTGAAGCTGGCCCTGTACAGCACTTGGTGTGTGGATATATGCTGTCTGAGAACATCTCTCACGGGTTGTTGTTGAGGAAAGTGCCTGTATTGCAGTACCTTTACTATTTGGCTCAAATAGGTATCGCCATGAGTCCTCTGTCAAACAACAGCTTGTTTTTGAACTACCATAGAAACCCGCTTCCAGAGTACCTAGCTAGAGGTCTGGTAGTATCTCTCTCAACAGATGACCCCCTACAGTTCCACTTCACCAAAGAACCGCTTATGGAGGAGTATTCAATTGCAGCTCAAGTATGGAAACTGTCTAGTTGTGATATGTGTGAACTTGCAAGGAACAGCGTCCTAATGTCAGGATTCCCGCACAAGACCAAGCAGTATTGGTTGGGACCCAACTATACCAAAGAAGGCGTAGCTGGTAACGATATAGCAAGGACCAACGTTCCTGATATCAGAGTAGCGTTCAGGTACGAGACGTTGATAGACGAGCTGTCAAATATCTTCAAGAACCACTCGTTGATGATGCAGCACAACGAGTGACGTGGAAAGATGTAAAAGATAGTTACGTTAAGAATTAAACTCTGACTCAGTAATAATTGTTTTGTTTGGAAGACGGTGCTGTATGTTGAGCAGTTAAAAGTGTCACAAGGCGGATCTACTGTTAAACTCGTTAAACGATTCATCACGGCACAAAGGACGGCTTTTTAACATTAACAATTTGTCCTTCAGAATTGTTACTTTTTCAAAAAATAGACTCAAATCAAAGTTAATTCATGGAAAGGTTTGGTTGAAAATTCGGGGAAAAATCTCCCAACGTGACAAGTTTCCTGATATTTTATATCATATTGAATGAGACAAGGTAGCTTTATATAATAATAATTTTATTCTAGTTCTGTTGGCTTTGTTTTTCTATGATTTTAATCCTACTTTTCGAGTTATCATAAAAACATTACCGAAGCTTTTCCATGAAAAAGTTTGTTAAGGTTTTAAAACTTTGCGGTTAGCTTCACGTCAAAATAAAAAAAAATAAGCAACCTGTCATGATTGTCAGTAATCAGTTCTGTTAAATAACGACGGTTCACTTTACTGGTCATGAGAGCTCTTGTCGTTCCAACCATCTCTATTTGGCATCACTGTCAAACATAACGGAAATGTTAACGGTTGGTTATTTCTGTTGCTCTAAAGACTCTCTAATGACAAAGCTTCCTTATTTTACTGGTTTATTCAAGAAATGCAGGGGTCTACCAATTTTACACAGCATATTCCGCATGACGGGTCGAATTTATAATTAATAACTAGAGGTAAGTACGGATGCCTCACGTTGACATTTCACAACCCAAGTCAAGTGACATGGCAAATACGACCTTCTCGTAATAAGAAATAATAAATATTATAACGAAGTATCAAAATAACAGCACTAAAATCTCTAATAACTACGCATTCGTCGTTAGAGTTAGATGACTTTTGACAGACGCTGGTGGACAAGCAAACACAGTGTTGCCAGATTTTAAACATGATTTTACGTCAAGGGTTGTTCACGAAAATTTTGTACAGTTTGTATTATTCTCCTGTAAAATAGATATTTATTGACTTACGTACTGTAAGAACTTCACTAAGGACTGGTTCAGATAACTCAAAAAAAAATTAAGAATTTTTCCAATTTTGTTGCTTTTGAAAATTGAGAAAATCTAAAAAGTTCCAAAAATTTTATTCAATTTGGAAAATTTGGATTCTTTTAAATTTTAATAGTAATAATTTTGATTATTCTGAAAAATTTTTAAAATCTCAATTTAGAAAATATTGAAATTTTGTAAATGTTTAATATTTGTAAGTTGTCAATTTTGAAAAATTTGGCAATCTTATTTTTGAAAATTTGAATTTTGAAAATTCTGGAAATTGTGAAACATATTTTGAAAATTGAAAATTTCGAAAATTCTGAAAATCCTGAAAATTTTGAAAATGTTGAAAATTGTTATTGATTTTGAAAATTTTCGATATTGTGAAATTTTTAAGAATTTTAAAATTTATAAAATCTTACTAATCTTGAAAATTCTGATTATTTTGAATATTCGGTAGTTTTTTAAATTTCGAAAATTTTTGTTTTGAAAATTCAGATAATCCTGAAAGTTTCCTGGATTTTGAAAATTGGGAAAAATGTGAGAATTCTGAAATTCTCAAGAGATGTCTTGATCATTTTGGAACTGCATATTTTGAGAATTTTGCCCATTTAGAAAATTTTAAAATCTCGAAAATTGTGACAATCTAGAAATTTTTGGAAATTCTGGAAATTTTGTCATTTTTGGAAATTGCAATTTTTAAAATTTTGGAAATTTTCATAATTTTGGATTTTGGAGTTAGAGTTAGATGACTTTTGACAGACGCTGCTGGACAAGCACAGTGTTGCCAGATTTTAAACATGATTTTACGTCAAGGGTTGTTAACGAAAATTTTGTACAGTTTGTATTATTCTCCTGTAAAATGGATCTTTTTTGACTTACGCACTGTAAGAACTAACGACTAGTTCAGATGACTAAAAAAAATTAACAGTTTTTCCAATTTTGATGACACTTTTGACTTACTCGATAGTTTGAAGATGTATGCATTATCATATCTGTTTGCTAGTAACTGTGGTATAACCAAACAGTCAGACGTTTAACCTCCACCTTCTATTTTTTTTTGTCGACTATCAATGTGATTAACAGAAGCCTTAAGTAAGCTAGACAACATTGACACTTGTTGAGTCTTTCCGAAATTTTATATATTTTTATAGTCGTTTTTTATACGTTTCTAGGTTTTTTTTTCTCAAATTTGGTTGTTTTTTTTATGAGAGTGATGAAAGCGTATTATAATATAGGTGATCAATGTATTTGTATGTTACATTAATATATTCTATTTATATCTGTTAATATATATAATATCAATTTTCATTTTTGTGTTCAAAGATAACTTTTCAACGATGTAGATGAATTAATACAATAAATTAGATCAGAATATTTTTGTCTTTTTTTTGTTCCACCTAAATCCAGTAAGATAAATGGGCAATATTATACAGGGTGTCCCAGAAATAGAGATTACTATCAGATTCATATAGAATTAAAAAAATAATGACACAAGTGTTTATGAAAAAAATGTTCTAAGGGCTCTTAAGAGACGCTACTGGAGGTTGGGTTTTCTTAAATTACTTTTGAGCCATAATCAAGTGTTCAACAGCAGAGCAACCAATGGGGGCCTCACATGATGATGTGCCTAAAGAAAAAAATTACATCGATGTCCAATAGATTGATAGAAAGGTAGGTAACCTATTTTTCATGGTACCTGATCACGTTTTGACGATCTAAAATATCGAAACGCAACGTGCGTGACGTCATGACAGCTAAACCGTTTATTGATTGGTCAGTCCGATTTGAGATGGCTGACCTTTGTTCTCACTGTCATTGATCATCAACCTATGTAAATCAACCACGGCATATCCCAAAAAATAGAAGAATTTATAGAATCATCTTTAAGTGGCAAGTGGAAAAAAGATTCGTAACCTTTGAAAACTATGCTAAATGAAAACTAATCATATTTGGACATAATGGCAATTCTGTGTTCTGAACTCAGTTAAAATGACCTCCACAACCATATGAATTACTTCTTAGAGATATATTATCCCTTTCCATAATTTTACACACTCGATTGGGAAACCGATCCGCAAAATCCGTGATGCCGCGTAAATAAGAATCATGTCCACAAGTTCAGCATTTTCGTAAACATGTGCCATTTTTGATTTCGTTTGAGCCACGCAACAGACACCACTATTCACTCACGCGTTACCGACTGACACAACTGAATAAAATAATTGTAAAAACATCGTTCCAAATTCTTTCGCTTTTTTGTTTCCGATGCGATGAACCGATAAGGCGGATTATATCCGTTGTTGCCAAACACGAGCACATATTATTATTGAGACAGGGCGGTACTCAAACTTCCAAAGGGCTATAACTTTGTTACTTTAATTTTACCAGAATAATGGTAAAGGAAAAAAACATTTCTTTTGATCAGATCTACTCACTGTTAAAATAAATGACTCAACTTCGAAGTCACCCTGTATAATAATGCCTTAAATCATGTTCGTTTTTCAGTAAAATAGTATTCTGCTATTTTTATCGATTTATAGGTATATATATATATATTTGTTGTTAAGTATAGATACGAAAAAATGCCCGGAGGTTGGCCTATGAACTGATCATCGGAATGGTTCTAGTTCATTACTGGGCTGTAGCTCATGTAACGAATAGATTTTCACCATCATTGTAAGTACCTTTTTCTCAAGCAAACAATATCAAATCCTACAAAAATTGTCCTTGATTTTACGGAAAAAAATAAAGCAACAACGATTTTTCTCCGATCATATTGTAGCGCTTTTCTCGGTTCGTGTGGGTGTGGATTAAAACACAAAAATAAATGCACTCATTTATTTATCTTGACTAGATAGAACATTTATGTTCACCAACATTTATGTCTGACTAATTCTTATGTCGCGCCATTGACTGAACTATACTCCACTCTGCTCTGCACTACTATGCTTCCCTCTCCCGGCCGTCGAGTTATATAGTCCGCATCGTTGGCTCGAGAAGAATCCGGTGAGCTACATAGCGGCCTTCCAGAATCGTTGTGGTCACTTCGCGTCGATCTAGAAGGCACGGTGCTCAACAGATGTCGCCACCGGAGGAGATTGGCACGGTCCACAACTGAGATCAGCCATGAAGCAGCTGGTCCCCAACAGATGGCGCCAACGGTACTATTTATTCTTGTTACACTGCCCCCTCCCTAAAGTCATTCCGTCCCGGAATGATCTTACTGGCGGTGGATGTCGATATCGGCACGACGAAGCTTTCTTGGTAACCAGATAGAGGATCTTTCGGTTGGTACCCTCTTCAGTTATCTGGAGTACTTCTCCGACTTCCGGGTTAGATTATCGTAGCTCGTGGACTCTTCTAAACTTCCTAAGAAAGACTCCCTCTCCCGGCCGTCGAATTATATAGTCCGCATCGTTGGCTCGAGAAGAGTCCGGTGAGCCACATAGCGGCCTTCCAGAATCGTCGGGGTCACTTCGCGTCGATCTAGAAGGCGAGTCACTGGCACGCTGCTCAACAGATGTCGCCACCGGAGGAGACTGGCAAGGTACCCAACACAGATCGACCATGTACCAGCTGGTCCCCAACAGATGGCGCCAACGGTACTATTTATTCTTGTTACACTGTCCCCTCTCTAAAGTCATTCCGTCCCGAAAGAATCTTACTGGCGGTTGATGACGATATCGGCTCGAATGCCCTTTCTTACAGTAGGAGTTCTTGAAGAAGTAACAATCCACACTCTTTCCGGGAGGTAGCCGTCTAGGGCTGTGACAACATACCAGAAATCGAATGCCTGTATACCGGAAGACTACCTCAAGCATGCTTGGGATGATTCTCCAGTCCAGGTTGTCCAGTCCACATGCCAGCTTAGGTATTTCCAGTTTTCTCAGGTCCTCGGCGAGCAAAACTTCTCTAAGAAGAGAACACAAAGCGTTAAAGTCATCCTCGTAATTCGGTTTCTGATACGAAGCTTTCCTGGTAACCAGATAGAAGATCTTTCGGTTGATACCCTCTTCAGTTATCTGGAGTACTTCTCCGACTTCCGGGTTAGATTGTCGCAGATCGCACTCTTTCAAACTTCTTAAGAAAGACTCCGTCTCCCGGCCGTCGAGTTATATACTCCGCATCGTTAGCTCGAGAAGAGTCCGGTGAGCCACATAGCGGCCTTCCAGAATCGTCGAAGTCACTTCGCGTCGATCTAGAAGGCGAGTCACTGGCACGCTGCTCAACAGATGTCGCCACCGGAGGAGACTGGCACGGTCCCCAACAGAGATCGGTCATGAAGCAGCTGGTCCCCAAACAGATGGCGCCAACGGACTATTTACTCTTGTTACACTGCCCCCTCCCAAAAGACATTCCGCCCCGGAATGATCTTACTGGCGGTGGATGTCCATATCGGCACGACTGCCCTTTCTTGCAGTAGTAGTTCTTGAAGAAGTAACAATCCACACTCTTTCCGGGAGGTAGCCGTCTAGGCCTGTGACAACATACCAGAAATCGAATGCCTGTATACCGGAAGACTACCTCAAGCATGCTTGGGATGATTCTCCAGTCCAGCTTGTCCAGTCCACATGCCAGCTTAGGTATTTCCAGTTTTATCAGGTCCTCGGTAAGCAAAAGTTCTCTAAGAAGAGAACACAAAGCGTTACAGACATCCTCGTAATTCGGTTTCTGATACGAGGCTTTCCTGGTAACCAGATAGAAGATCTTTCGGTTGATACCCTCTTCAGTTATCTGGAGTACTTCTCCGACTTCCGGGTTAGATTGTCGCTGATCGCAATCTTTCAAACTTCTTAAGAAAGACTCCGTCTCCCGGCCGTCGAGTTATATAGTCCGCATCGTTGGCTCGAGAAGAGTCCGGTGAGCAACATAGCGGCCTTCCAGAATCGTCGAAGTCACTTCGCGTCGATGTAGAAGGCGAATCTCTGGCACGCTGCTCAACAGATGTCGCCACCGGAGGAGATTGGCACGGTCTCCAACACAGATCGACCATGAAGCAGCTGGTCGCCAACAGATGGCGCCAACGGTACTATTTATTCTTGTTACACTGCCCCCTCCCTAAAGTCACTCCGTCCCGGAATGATCTTATTGGCGGTGGATGTCGATATCGACACGACGAAGCTTTCTTGGTAACCAGATAGAAGATCTTTCGGTTGATACCCTCTTCAGTTATCTGGAGTACTTCTCCGACTTCCGGGTTAGATTGTCGCAGATCGCAATCTTTCAAACTTCTTAAGAAAGACTCCGTCTCCCGGCCGTCGAGTTATATAGTCCGCATCGTTGGCTCGAGAAGAGTCCGGTGAGCCACATAGCGGCCTTCCAGAATCGTCGAGGTAACTTCGCGTCGATCTAGGGGGCGAGTCAATGGCACGCTGCTCAACAGATGTCGCCACCGGAGGAGACTGGCAAGGTCCCCAACACAGATCGACCATGTACCAGCTGGTCCCCAACAGATGGCGCCAACGGTACTATTTATTCTTGCTACACTGTCCCCTCCCTAAAGTCATTCCGTCGCGAAAGGATCTTACTGGCGGTTGATGACGATATCGGCACGAATGCCCTTTCTTACAGTAGGAGTTCTTGAAGAAGTAACAATCCACACTTTTTCCGGGAGGTAGCCGTCTAGGGCTGTGACAACATACCAGAAATCGAATGCCTGTATACCGGAAGACTACCTCAAGCATGCTTGGGATGATTCTCCAGTCCAGGTTGTCCAGTCCACATGCCAGCTTAGGTATTTCCAGTTTTCTCAGGTCCTCGGCAAGCAAAACTTCTCTAAGAAGAGAACACAAAGCGTTACAGACATCGTCGTAATTCGGTTTCTGATACGAAGCTTTCCTGGTAACCAGATAGAAGATCTTTCGGTTGGTACCCTCTCTAGTTATCTGGAGTACTTCTCCGACTTCCAGGTTAGATTGTCGCAGCTCGTGCACTCTTCCAATCTTCCTAAGAAAGACTCCCGCTCCCGGCCGTCGAGTTATATAGTCCGCATCGTTGGCTCGAGAAGAGTCCGGTGAGCAACATAGCGGCCTTCCAGAATCGTCGAAGTCACTTCGCGTCGATGTAGAAGGCGAATCTCTGGCACGCTGCTCAACAGATGTCGCCAGCGGGGAGACTGGCAAGGTCCCCAGCACAGATCGACCATGAAGCAGCTTGTTACAATATTCATTATACGAGTACTATATGGCCAGCTGGCCAATAGTGAAGATACCAGAGCGTAGGGAAGCTGATTCAGACACTATGGGAGTCAATCTACTTGACGCAATTTTTGCTGTATGCGAATGTTGAAGGATGGGGAAATAAGGACACATCACTCTGTATTCACCATTTTATTATAAAAATCTATACAAAAATACAAATTGCGCGTCCGTATGGTTACTTACTGATTATGGTTGAGTATTCTATACATAAGAAAAACCCTAATTATGTCATGCTTTGCTCTTGCATCACGACTTAAAATCCATCAATACTTTCACTTTGCAGATATTACAAAATTTGTCCGGCGTGTGAATGCGTTTTCGCTTGTTGAGCTCGCAGTTATGATTTAACAATGATAATCTTAGAGATCATCGATTGTGCTTTGGTTTAGTGGATTTTTACATATCAATGGACTTTCTATTATTATTATATATAAACGACCAATATGTTTTTGAATGTCAATTTTCAAAGAAGCATAAAATATACGAGAATCGATTGATCAAAACTGAAAAGTGAAAAAATATACAGGGCAAGCAAAAAACTAGAGAGGTATTTACAAGAAAGTAGAAAAGTAAAGTAATAGAAAACGTAAAGTTATCTCTTGCCCATGGTCGGGCTCTCACACTATTATGACCAAGTTTCGCAACATCTGCAACATTGCGAATAAATAGTTGACTGATTGATTAATTTTTCCTTGTACATTGTGAGCAAGAGAGCCACTCTTAAAATTACGTATCACATTATGTTTCACGCTCGATAATTCTTTGAATTATCGCAGCGAGCGCCGTAAGCTTTATGTAAAATTATGTTATCAGGTAAGTTTAATACTCTTATAAGTACATGTTTTTATGTAATAAGAAAGAACAAAATCAGCGAATAATAACCACAGTGAAAAATGGATGATACTTATTCTTTAGGCCCGTATCGACAGTCATTAATACAATTGTAGGACGTCTTTATGGTCTCCTTGATTTTCATACTTTTCTACTGTTCTGTGTCAGCGCTCTATTTTGAGGTTATGTCACAAATATCTATTTGTATCAAATTGTTCATGCTTTTGACATCATGTTATATCAGCCTAAAATCTCCTACAATTCAAAGAGAAAACATAGCCTGACGCTGACATGGAACAGTAGAAATCTAGAAATACTCCAGCATCACTGAAGAAGCGAAATACTATAAAAATCAAGGTGGCCATAGTCTTTTCCTTCCTCCAGGAAGGCTGAGATATTTCTAGATTTCAGCATCAGCGCTTTCCTGTTGTGAAGTTATTATATTAATTTGAGGCCGAAAAAACTGGTGGTATAAATCAAAAGCATACACAATTAGATGCAAATTGCTATTTGTGACGTAACCTCAAAATAGAGCACTGACACGGAACAGTACACAGCTATGAAAATCAAGGAGGCCTTAAAGGCGTCCTACAATAATTGTAGGAACGATTGACTATACGGCCCTTAGTGACCCATGTGGCAAAAGTAGATAATCACTTCATCACAGTTCATCCATTTCTCACTGCGTACACAAAATACAAAAATTTGGTAATAGTGATGTAAGAGGATAACACAACTCTGAATCGTTACGCACATACACTTTTTTGGTTTGGTTCGAAAAATCTACTAAAACAAATTCTATTTTTTAAACTAAAGCTAAAATTTACGAAATAATGGCAGCTTACAAATGACTATCACAGGTAGCTTCGCAACTGACTTCACTGGGAACGTCTTCCTTCGTCTCCTTGTTTTCTTGCGCAGGTAGGTTGTTATTATTCTGAACAGGTTTCGGTTCTTTCTGAGGCACCAATAGGAGTGCTATGATGTTCCTGAACGGTGCTTCTATGGCTAAGTATAGCACTAGAGCTGTGCTGAAGGCAACTGCTATGTCCGATAACGCATAACAGATCTGAAAAATATCACATTGATCAAACGAACGTGATTTTAATTATTTCAAGGCCTCGTCGAAGTAAATAGTGAACTCGTGGGTTCGGCAGGACACCGGGGTACTACACCTGTTCTATTCACGAGGCGAGGCCGGAGCATAATATTGGGTTGTCGGAAAAGTCATGACGCTTTTTTTTGTTTATTTTAAAGCCATTTTATTCATATACAGCACAAACTTCAATCAATAATGTATTGCCCATTTTGATCGATGACCTTTCGCCATCTTTCAGGCAGCTTCATAATTCCTCGCTCGTAGAAGGATTTGTCTTTACCGGCAAAAAATTGAACAAGGTGCTGATGTACAGCTTCATCTGAAGTAAAGCGTATTTCTCGCAAGGAATTTTGAAGCGACCGAAACAAATGAAAATCAGATGGGGCAAGATCAGGCGAGTATGCTGGATGTGGTAACACATCCCATCCTAACTCCAATAACTTTTGACGAGTGAGCAAACTTGTGTGCGGTCTCGCGTTGTCATGGTGGAACACAACTCCTTTGCGATTAATGAGCTCCGGACGTTTTTGCATGATGGATTGTTGCAAACTGTCCAATTGCCGACAATACACAGTTGTATCGGTGGTTTGGTTCTTTGGCAGGAGTTCGAAAAACACGATCCCTTTAAAATCTCACCAAACAGAGAGCATCACCTTTTCCTGATGACTCTCTGCTTTCGCGATCGTGTTACGCGTATCTACACTTCGGGACCAAGACCGTTTGCGAACCAGATTGTTGTAAACAATCCACTTTTCATCTCCCGTTATCAAGCGCTTTAAGAAAGGATCGTTTTCCTCACGTTTAAGGAGCATATCGCAGATGTCTACACGCGCCGTCAAATGAACCTCTCTCAGTTCCTGTGGTACCCAACGATCGAGTTTGCTTACGTATCCCAGTTTCTTCAAATGGTCGTGAACGGTTGAATGATGGATTTTTAAGGTTTCTGCAATTTCTCGTGTGGTGTAATGTGGGTTTGCTTCTACCAATGCCTTTAATTCGTCACTATCCAACTCAGTAGGCCGCCCTGATCGAGGTGCGTCATGGATATCAAAATCCCCATCTCGGAATTTTTTAAACCATCTCTGGCATTGCCGTTCTTGTAGTGCATGTTCTCCATAAACCTTTCTCAACTTTTCACACGCTTGTCTTGCGTTCTTGCCTTTGCGGAAGTAATACAGCAAAATGTGACGAAAATGCACAGTTTGGTCGTCCATCTTCAACGTCCTCTAAAATCGACGAGACTCAAATAAATCACTTAATTTTTTGGTGCAAATGAAGCTTGAAGTGTCAACTGTCAAACTACACAATCAACATACAAATGTCATTGACTCACGTACTTCCAACCATGCAATTGCATACTTTGTTGCATATACGTCATGACTTTTCCGACAACCCAATAGTTATACAGAGAAATCCATATACCACTGACGTCGCAGTGTACGAGAGACAAGCGTGGGATGCGTATGTTAGAAAGAGATAAAGGCACCACGTTGCATAGCAACCTGAGTGACGAGGCCACTGACGGCTGCCACATTCCATTCCTCGCCAGTGATAATTGGACTTCTCTATAATTTTCGACTAGAATAATCAGCGAGCAACAGGTCGCACTTGTTTGCTAAACGTTTATACCTCTGATAGAGGTTGCTATGTTCTGCTTTCGTCGACCGCGCTACTGGTCCTCAACGAAAATGAAACGGCCCCGTATACGGTTGGTTATCAATACAATAACTGACGCGAAATGTACGATCTCTTCAGTTAGGTGGGGAACTTTTCATTTATGTATGTTAAATACCTCATTCTTCTGACGAATGTCATACCGTATACAGGGTGTAAACGTTATGGTAGTCATTAGATTTTTGTCCAAATGGCTTTATAGTCTACAACGTTAAGTGCTTTGTATCGACCACAATCACCACAATCTTACTAATTTTTATAATCTAATCTAAAACGTTTTTAAATTGGGTAGGTAATTAACAAATAAATGACATTAAGTTTTTCCAAGTTAAGCCAAAATTTGTAGTCAATAAGTAAGTAGGTTTCGTTAAATTAAATATTTAAAACACACATGACAACAACGCGTCGGTCTTTCATCACTCTTATCGAACCGGCAATCGATCGCAAACGGTAACAGTGGTTAGTTATCGTTTTGCATAGATAAATTACTTTATCGTCACCTTGTTTTCTTGCGCAGGTTGTTATTATTCTGAACAGGTTTCGGTTCTCTCTGAGGCACCAATAGGAGTGCAATGATGTTCCTGAACGGTGCTTCTATGGCTAAGTATAGCACTAGAGCTGTGCTGAAGGCAACTGCTATGTCCGATAACGCGTAACAGATCTGGAAAATATCACATTGATCAAACGAACGTGATTTTAATTATTTCAAGGCCTCGTCGAAGTAAATAGTGAACTCGTCGGTTTGGCAGGATACCGGGGTACTACACCTGTTCTATTCACGAGGCGAGGCCGGAGCATAATAGTTATACAGAGAAATCCGTATACCACTGACGTCGCAGTGTGCGAGAGAGAAGTTTGGGATACGTATGTTAGAAAGAGATAAAGGCAGCACGTTGCATAGCAACCCGAGTGACGAGGCCACTGACGGCTGCCACATTCCATTCCTCGCCAGTGATATTTGGATTTCTCTATAATGTTCGACTAGAATGATCATAGAGCAACAGGTCGCACTTGTTTGCTAAACTTTTATACCTCTAACAGAGGTCGCTATGTTCTGCTTCCGTCGACCGTGCTACTGATCCTCAACGAAAATGAAACGGCCCCATATACGGTTGGTTATCAATACAATAACTGACGCGAAATGTGTGATCTCTTCAGTTAGGTGGGGAACTTTTCATTTATGTATGTTAAATACCCCATTCTTCTGACGAATGTCATACCGTATACAGGGTTATGGTATGTTATGGTAGTCATAGGTTTTTCACCACTCTTATCGAACCGGCAATCGATCGCAAACGGTAACAGTGGTCAGTTATCGTTTTGCATAGATAAATTACTTTATCGTTTTGTCGAGCAACGTGTTGTTTTGTTTTTGTTCGCGTACGTCGTCGTGTTTATTTACAATGTTCTCGCATCTAGCGACCGACGAAATGTACTTTTACTCGAGAAGGGATATTAAATTTCCATAATACTCACACGTGGGCCCAAGAAAATCCTCATACCATTCGTGAAGGTCATTTCCAACAAGTTTTAAAATAAATATTTGTGCGGGTATTCTTGACGATCAGGTAATTGGCCCTCTCGAGTTACCCCCAAAGTTTCTAGCCAATAACCTACCAGAACTTTTGGAACAGACCTTAGACAACATGCGATTACAACGGAGACAGAATTTGTGGTTTCTTCACCACCACACATTTTTAGAGGCGTGATTCAGCATTTGAATGAACATTATCCAAATCGCTGGATCGGTTGAAATGCTCCTGATCCTCTAAAATGGTCAGCACGATCTCCTGATCTCAATCCGATGGATTTCTGGTATTGGGGAGAACTTAAAGGGGTGGTTTATGGGGCTGGTCCAATAAAAACTGAAGCACAACTTCGCGAAAAAAAAATTAATGCGACTGAAATAATAAATGGACAACTTCGAGGATCTAGAGTAGGAAGAAACTGATTTTTTTTTAAATACAAAAAAGTGCATTGTGGGTTTTAAAAAGAAAAACAATGTATGTATCAAAATTGTGTTCCCTATTTATAAGTTGATTTTTTTTAAATGTTTGCATTTTACAAGTACATTATCAAATAATGAAACAATACCTAAGAGCCAAAAATAACAAACTCCATCTTTGCTTACGTCTGGCATTGCGGCGTTGCCAGATTTTATTTTACTTTAAAGTCGCTTTTCTCTAAAAAATGCCGTTTTAACCCCCATGTTATATGAAACTCTATCACCCTTTTAAATAATGACTATCATAACGTGTACACCCTGTACGTGAACTCGAGTAGAACCCAGAGTCACAGGGGAGGATCATGAGTAGATTCACATTACTTACCATGTCAAAATAACCGACTACATCAACCCCACCTCTTCTGGCGACTGCTCTTATTTGGTACTGCATGTGGATTAAATATGCTCCATAGACTAATTTGCTGAGCGGGATCCATGGTTTCCAAGAAAGAAACCTACAAAAAAATTAGTAGAGTCCATTACCTATTGGAAAACATCTCCAATGAAGACGCGTACGCCAATGCTGAATGAGAAAGACAAAAAATTCCAGATAAAAGACGATGCCTGCAGCATAGCATTTTGAAAAATACTGATATTAGCACTTCTTAGCAAACCAAAAAGTGCTTTCGGTGCTACGCCACTGGAATACACCCCTATACTCAGAGTAGTAATTTGGATTTGTTCATTAAGCTGGATAATTGCATAGTAAAATTTATAAATTCGGTTTAAATCAGATAATGTCAAAGTAGCAAATTTTTACTGCACGTCACTGGAGGCAGTAACGTTCAATGAGTGCTTCAATCTGTTCTCGGCACCAATATGAGAAAAAATAGCAATTCTCGAAAGAAACCCCAAAAAAGTATTTTTTTAAGGGATGAACGTAACACTTTTTTTATAGTTAGATAATTTGAGTTATAGCCAACTTTCGAAAAATTTGAAAAATAATTGGTGTCAGCTCAGTAGGTCGTGTTTTGTTTGTTGACGGATCTGCACAAGTCAAAATGGGCTTCATCGCCAAAAATACCGTAGCGTCCTCAGAAACGACTACGCGTTCATCAGATAATTTTAGTTACGTTCAGAAATGAAAATGAAGATCATCCCTCCTCACAGATGATGAACGCCATAGTGATCGCAACATCGAAGCCTTCACTGCCACAACATAAAAAAAGGAAGGTATGCTGTTGCATACTGAATGTCAACTTCATTTAGATACTTCGTGTATTACCTGTAAATGAATTTGGCGTGTCCATAACTCGCGACGTAGATGATTCCAATACTTCCAAGTGCCCACACTGATCGGTGAAGAGCTGAATAGAGAGCCGATTCCGCACCGTTATACTCGTGGTAAGGATCATAGAAGATTGTTCCAGTGACTATCGTGGCCGCCATTATGACCACCGAAGAAACTAGAATTATCCGGGAGTACACCTGTAAATAATATTGACGTAAAAGCAACAGCGGAAGAACAAAAAATAAAACAAAATTGAAGTAAAGTCTTTACTGTCATGTTTACATTTAATAAAATATATCATTGATCACGAAATTGCAATGCTATGGATTTCAAGGTTCTGTATTTATTACAAAATTATTTAATCAATAGAATTCAAAGAACTAAAATTGGCAATACATTATCAAACATTAAAAACATTTCGGTAGGTGTGCCACAGGGTAGCAAATTAGGTCCTTTACTATTTATTTTATATATTAACGATATTCCTGATATTTTACAATACTGCAATATTTAACTATTTGCTGATGATACATTAATATACTTCGAAGTTGAGTCATTTATTTTAACAGTGAGTAGATCTGATCAAAAGAAATGCTTTTTTCCTTTAACATTTTTCTGGTAAAATTAAAGTAACAAAGTTATAGCCCTTTAGAAGTTTGAGTACCGCCCTGTCTCAATAATAATATTATGTGCTCGTGTTTGGCGACAACGGATATACTCCGCCTTATCGGTTCATCGCATCGGAAACAAAAAAGCGAAAGAATTTGGAACGATGTTTTTACAATTATTTTATTCAGTTGTATACAGTCAGTGTCAGTCGGTAACGCGTGAGTGAATAGTTGTGTCTGTTGCGTGGCTCAAACGAAATAAAAAATGGCAAATATTTATGCGGATCGTTTTCCCAATCGAGTGCAACCAACCCCTCGTGCCTTTGTTAATGTAGTACAACGGGTTCGTGAATCAGGTGACTTAAGACCTCACAGGGGACTGCATGCCGGTGCTCCAAGACCTCACGATCAAATACAGGTCCGCACTGAAATACTTGTCGGGAGGATACTTTATAAAACAAGATAAAAAAATTTTTTTAATTTATACAGGGTGACTTTGAAGTTGAGTCATTAATTTTCAGATAATGATTGTAGAAGGAAGATAAACCAAAATATGTGTGTAAAAATAAAAAAAAATTACCTTGTTTTATAAAGTATCCTCCCGACAAGTATTTCAGTGCGGACCTGTATTTGATCGTGAGGTCTTGGAGCACCGGCATGCCGTCACCTGATTCACGAGCCCGTTGTACTACATTAACAAAGGCACGAGGGGTTGGTTGCACTCGATTGGGAAACCGATCCGCATAAACATGTGCCATTTTTTATTTCGTTTGAGCCACGCAACAGACACCACTATTCACTGTGAAGCGTTACCGACTGACACTGACTGTATACAAATGAATAAAATAATTGTAAAAACATCGTTCCAAATTCTTTCGCTTTTTTGTTTCCGATGCGATGAACCGATAAGGCGGATTATATCCGTTGTCGCCTAACACGAGCACATAATATTATTATTGAGACAGGGCGGTACTCAAAATTCCAAAGGGCTATAACTTTGTTACTTTAATTTTACCAGAAAAATGCTAAAGGAAAAAACATTTCTTTTGATGAGATCTACTCACTGTTAAAATAAATGACTCAACTTCGAAGTTATATATATATATATATATATATATATATATATATATATATATATATATCTGAAATAAAGGCATTGAAACTGCAATAGAGCTGTTAAATAATGATATGACAAACGTAATAAATTGGTTGAATGTAAATAAGCTTAAACTAAACACAAACAAAGCAAAATATATGCTAATAGGAAAATCTTTAGATCAAAGTACGGTAAATCCTACAATTAATCATGAAAAAAATGTGTTAATCGAATCATTTAAATATTTGGGCATATACGTAGACAGTAAATTAAAATTTGAAGGGCACTATGAGAATATTATTTCAAAAATATCCAAGAAAATAAATTACTTTTAAAGAATTTCGCGTAGCATAAGCGTTTATTCTGAAAAAATTGTGTACAACACTATCATTCTTCCTCATTTGTTATATTGATCGACTATTTTGTTCACAGCAAATGAAACTGTATTTTCAAAATTAGAAAAATTATAAAATAAAGCTACGAGAATCATCCTAATAAAAATAAATATACTAGAATAAATTTTATGCTGAAAGAACTACAATGGTTAAATATCAAATATTTCATAGCCTACTAGGTTTTCATTTTCATATTCAAGTTAAAAAATCATCTTCTACCAAATCACTTAAAAATTTTTATTGTATTGAACAATGAGTGCTACAATTATTCTACTAGAGAAAGTATAGATTTTCATTTACAAAAGTGCAGTAGCAATGTAACGAGCAAGTCAGTATTTCAAAAGGGATTGTACGAATTTAATAAATTAAGTAATGATATCAAGATGTGTGTCAGTTTGAAAATGTTTAAAGGGAAATTGACAAAATATCTCATGGAAAACCACAATTCATAGTGGTGGAATTTTGTATAAAAATATGTAGTATTGAAGACATAATATATTTTGTGATATACTGTGTAATATGGATATTATAGCATTCATGCTAAATAAATCTGAAACAAGCAAACAAACAAACGTTATTTCACAATAATAGTTAGGTTTTCACTTTATCAAATATTTCATATTAACTACATTTCCTAAGCATGAAAGCAGTAAATCAATTTATCAAAAAAGCAGTAGTCTTCAAACTATAATGCTTTTATTATCTTTATGATAGAAGTACTGCCTTTCTATCCTTTTATAAACTATTATGATTTTCACTTATTTATTTATCTTATGTAATAATTCTACTATTATACTATACAGGGTGGCGCATCGAAAACGAAACAGACGCATTTACTGAAAGATCAGTTTTTTTTTGAAAAACGCTCAGACCCGTCGATTTTGTTTTCGAGGGGGACACGCGGGCTACACGTGTTAGCGTGATTTTTTGCCAAACTTGTGTCCCCCTCGAAAACAAAATCGATTGGTCTGGGCGTTTTTCAAAAAAAAAAACTGAGCTGCCAGAAAATGTGTCTGTTTCGTTTTCGATGCGCCACCCTGTATATATTTATCTGTCTATATCATATCCACCTACACCTAGCAATATTTGTAGGTGGCTATGCCTGTAAATACACTGATCAACAGCCAAAAAATATCCTAAATAAAATCTACAAAATATTACTATTTTTAATGTGCTAAAACCGGAATGAAACTTATTTTTTCAATATTAGTTCAAGTTTTAGAGATACGGTAATTATATGTGTTCCTGCTGTGACAGTGTTAATATACTGTAATTCACAAGAATGCACGTGCTACATTTTTATATTCGGCAAGGAAAGATGATGTAATCGGCATGATTGTGTTACGTTATACATACGTGTACATTATATTGTTTTATATTAGCCATTTTTTCCTCAGTTGGCTGACAGCGTTCATGCAAGATGTCTCGAAAGTCTGTAAACAATCCAGATCAGTTTTGTTACGTGTGTGGTGATGTGACTTTTGCGTCTCAGAGACGGTCTATTACTCCACTAATAACAAAGGCATATCAGCTTTATTTCGGTTGTAAACTAGGTGATCAAGACAAACAGTGGGCACCCCACATCTGCTGTAATACATGTGCCTCAAGTCTGAGGAGCTGGTTAAATGACAAAAAACGGTCTATGCGCTTTGTTGTCCCAATGGTTTGGAGAGAGCCTACAAATCATATTAATGATTGTTACTTTTGCATGGTACCTTGTGTTGGACAAGCCACAGGTATGTCCAAGAAAAAAAAATCGGTTATTAACTACCCAAACATACCATCTGCGATGAGGCCTGTGCCTCACAGTGTCGAAAATCCTATTCCAAAACCCCCAGAATCCTACACTTGCTAATAAGAAAACGAATCAGATCATGGCGATCGAGTGATTCGTCAGGAAGAAGATATGCCATCAACGCCAAGAGATCCTGATTTTATACCGAGCACGTCATGCCACCAACCGCACAAAAGAACACAGTCAGAATTAAATGATCTTGTAAGAGATTTAGAACTTCCAAAATGTAAGGCAGAGGTACTTGGATCAAGACTGCAGCAGTGGAACTTGTTAGAAGACGATGTTTCGGTATGTGTTTTTCGTAAACGCCACAAAGACTTAGAACCATTTTTCAATATGGAGAATAACTTGGTTTCCTGCAGTAACATTAACGGCTTACTGGCGGCTTTAAATATAAACTATAACCCAGAAGAATGGAGATTGTTTATAGACAGTTCAACATTGAGTTTAAAGGCAGTGTTATTGCATATTGACATGCATAAAATACGATGAGCACCAATGGCATATTTGTGGCGATTTGAAAGTTGTTGCACTTTTACTTGGGCTGCAGCTAGGCTACACAAAGTTTTGCTGTTTTTGTGTGTGAATGGGACAGTCGGGCAAAGGCACTTCATTACACCAGACAAAACTGGCCTGTTCGTCAATCCCTAGAGCCAGGTCAAAAAAATGTACAGCATATGCCATTAGTAGATTCGAAAAAAAATTTATTACCACCACTGCATATCAAGTTGGGTCTAATGAAAAACTTTGTCAAGGCATTAGATAGAGATGGGTCAGCTTTTCAATACCTGCGTCAGAAATTTCCAAGACTAAGTGAGGCAAAGGTTAAAGAAGGTATTTTTGTTGGGCCACAGATTCGAAATATTTTGAAAGATACACAGTTTGAAAACACTTTAACAGGTATTGAAAAAACTGCTTGGAATGATTTCCGTCTGGTGGTCACTAATTTCTTGGGAAATAGAAAAGCTGACAACTATAAAACCCTTGTCAAAAATATGCTGTCATCGTATCAAAAGATGGGCTGTAATATGTCTCTTAAGATACATTTCCTACACACACACCTGGACTTTTTTCCTGACAATTGCGGAGCCGTAAGTGATGAGCACGGTGAACGTTTTCACCAGGATATTTCAACAATGGAAAAAAGGTACCAGGGAAAGTGGAATCCTTCCATGCTTGCAGACTACTGTTGGAATTTTGGTAGAGATGCTCCAGAAACGATCCATAAAAGAACAGCAAAAAGACAGCGCATATAGTGATTCTTATAAGTATATGAATCTTGTTACTTTTTTTAATATATCCTTAAAAATAAAAAGTTTTTTTTCTAAACCGCAACTAATTTTTTTATTTCATTGTCATTTTTGGATTCAGCGCCACAAAATTAACAAAGAAGTGCACTTTTCCCACAAGATACAATTAAAAAACTAAAATTTGTTGTCCAGTGATACCTACATTCTTCAAGCACTTTCCAGAATCCTTCATCCTGTAGAACAGATACCCCGCAATCATCCCTATGAAGTACGGTCCTGCTCTGGTATGCGACTTCGAATACACCAATGAGAAATCTCTCTGCATCTTCGGCGCCCTCAGGAACTCCGGATAGAAGAACAGCACTGCCGGCAATTCGTGAAGCAGAACGACGAGGAAGTTACTCAGAAGTGACAGGAATATGACGACGCCGAGGGAGGTTAGACCGAGCTTTTTGTTTTTGTTGATTGCGAGGCATAGGAGTACCGCGACGACGAAGTAGTGGAAGTCGCAAGGGAGGTACCAGGAGTGGACCATGCACTGTAAGAGAAATATTAGTTATGGTTAAAACAGGGAAAAATATGCAAATATCTCGGTTATTTCAACAAGCTAGTCACATTGTTCAAAATGTGTTTTTTTGCTGGAACAAACATCATATAGATCCTTGATTTGATTTATTATAATATACTCAGTGCCGGAGAATTTATCAGGTACCCAAATACAGAAAATCAAATTATGCAGGCCAAATTTTTTTTTCAAAATCAAAATAAAGTTCATTTAAAGCAACAAATTTTCTTGGGAGATGTCAATATAAATATTTTGGACGATGATCCCATCACAAATGAATACTTGAATATCCTATCAAGTAACGGATTTCTGTCCTATATAAACCTACCTACAAGGTCCATCAGTGGCACATGTATAGATCACTGCTTTGTGAAAGAACTATCCAACAAAATTACTTGTATACCAATAATCCTAGAAAGCGATATTACTGACCACTTCTCCACTATTTTACTGATATCTTCAAATGAAAAACATTCTAACATCCCTACCGTTAGTAACAACCAGGAAAATGACAAATATTTTGTCGACAATTCAAAACTAATATCAAATGTCAAACAAGAATCCTGGGAACAATTATACTCTATAAATAATATAGACAAAGCAACGGGACTGTTCATAGAGAAAATAAAAAAACTAATAGATATTAGTACCAATAAAGTAATAATTAGTCACAAAGAGAAAAGCAGAAATGCCTGGATTACCAAAGGATTAATAACATCGGCAATAGAAAAAGAAAGACTATATAATGTAATGAAACTAACGCCAACTACAGAGAATACCGACTGCTACAACCAATATAAAAATAAATTTATAGAGCTTGCAAGGCAAACCAAACGAAAACATTACCTAAATAAATTGAATAATAATTCAAATGATCCTAAGCGGCTTTGGACAACTATTGATGAGATTACTGGGAAAATAAAAGTTAAAGAGTGTGTCACTGAGTTAAATACAACATCGGGAACAGTATTAAAAAATACTCAACAGATATGCGATGAGTTTGTACAATTCTTTACTGACATAGGCGAAAATTTAGCAAGTAATATACAAGCAAATGTACAAAATACTCAGCCTCCAAAAAGAACTTTGAACTCATTTATTTTGGATAAAGTCGAGCAATGTGAAGTATACACCACTGTTATGTCCTTAAAAAATCGGAAAAGTCCTGGGTTCGATGGTATTAAAAGCGAGCATTTGAAAATTATAGCCGAGGACATAACAGAACCACTCACTTACCTAATCAACAAATGCTTTGAATCTGGCATATATCCCTCAATTTTAAAAAAAGGTAATATAATACCGATACATAAATCAGGAACAAAAACAGATGTTAACAACTATAAACCAATATCAATAATATCCAGTGTAGCAAAGGTTTTTGAAAAAGTTTTATCTACTAGAATGATTCGATACCTCACAAAATTCAAAATTTTAAGTGAAAATCAGTATGGATTTACAGAAGGGAGGCTACATCGGACGCAATAACTAAAATTGTAAATCAAATACATCAAAATATTGATAACAGAATCCCTTCAATCTGCATTTTTGTTGATTTAAAGAAAGCTTTCGACACAGTTATACACAAATTATTATTAGAAGCATTGGAGAGAATTGGTTTCAGAGGAAACGCGTACTCACTGATCGAAAGTTATTTGTCAAATGGCCCACAATCTGTGCAGATATCAGGATCATTTAGTAAAGAAATGTATATTAAGTGTGGTGTCCCACAAGGAACTGTCTTAGGTCCGCTGTTATTCAATATATATTTAAATGATATTTTCCAAATTAATTGTGTTGGCAAAATAACTAGTTTTGCAGATCATACTGCAATATTATATGAAGGCACTGACTGGTCTGATCTGAAAAATGTAATTGAAAATGATTTTATCAAAATTATTCGGTGGTTTAACAGTAGAAAATTAAGCATTAACTACTCTAAAACACATTTTTTACCATTTGGATCTTATGCTAGACATCTGCCAAATTACACAAATTTCTCCTTCAATATTAATGATCAAAAAATGCAAATTAATAGAGTGCCCAACATAAAATACCTTGGAGTGGTCTTGGATCCTCACTTACGATGGGACATCCATGTCAATTATATTTTAAAGAAAGTTAGATTTGTATCCTACAAAATTAAATACCTTGGGAATATATTGACAGAAAAATATCTTCGAACATTATACCATGCACTGATTGAGCCTCATCTCACATATGGTATATTAGCATGGGGAGCTGCATGTTCCTCACATATCTATAATTTACATGTTTTTCAAAAAAGTATTCTAAAAATGATATTTAAAAAACCGAAACTTTATCCCACTGAAAAATTATACGCAGATGTTCGAATGTATGATATAAGGCAGCTTTATTTCTTACACAGCATCACTCACTACCATAAATTTGTAAACACCGACCAAAAAATTAAACATAATCATTATACCAGGTACAAAATTCGTGGCACAGTAGTTCCTCAACCGCATAAATCATTAATGCAGCGATCATATCTCTATTTAGCGCCTAAATTTTATGAAATTATACCTAAAGACTTAAAAGATTTACGTTTCGGAAATTATTTCAAAAGAAATTTAAAAAAGTGGCTACATTCTATATCTAGGACTGAAATTCATAAACTCATAAATACGAACATCAACTAAATACATAATCTACTGTAGCTAATTTTTGTCCTTTTTTGTCATTTGCATTCTACAGTTTCAACTTAAATTTATTGGTCCATGTACAGGCGATGCCTTCTATTGGGCCTGTTTTGATTTTATATTTATTTACTCATATTGTTTGTTATCTTTGTACATTGAGTGAATAAATATTATTATTATTATTATTATTATTATTATTAAAGAGAAATGGTTGACCAGGTTCCGTTTTCCCACAGCTATTGGGGTTATCGACTGCACGCGTATCTTGATCGAAAACCAGCCCAAATTGGAGACGAATATGTAAATCGAAAAGGCTTTGCCAGTATTAATGTACAGGTTACATGCGACCAGAGTTCTGTTATAACTAGTATAGATGCAAGTTGGCCTGGATCAGTCCATGATGCTCGTATATGGAAAAATTCGGCAGTGTGTGAACTCAAGAAAAAGACAAGAAACAGTATTCTTCTAGGGGACAGTGGGTATGGTATAATGTCATGTCTTATGACTCCTTACACCGACCCCCACAAGGAATATCAGAGAGTCTTTAACTTAACTGCTTACATCAGAGTTGTGATTGAGCATTCATTTGGGCAAGTAAAGCGGCGATTTCCTATCCTGAAGTATGGATGCAGAGTAAAACTGACCAGTATTTCAAAAGTTATAATTGCGTGTGCTGTGTTGCACAATATAGCTAAGCAATTAAGAGATGAAGATTTTCAAGAAAATGACGAAGATGAAGAACAGGACTTGCCATTTATAGAGATTGAAAATGTAGATACTATTCGCGCACAAGGACAAAGGCGGCGAGAGGAATTAGCTCGTCTTATCACCAATAACAATTTAGGTGTTTAATTGGGATGGAAACTTTCATGTAATGCTATGTATATGTCGTTTACTTCAAACGTATACTTAATCTGAAGTCACTTGAAACACTGTGAAATACCGGGTGCGTTTTATATATCTATATTTAACACGCTCTGTTGCTGCAAAAATCGCCAAATTTCGCAGCAAATATCCCCCGTATAAGATCAAAGGCAGTTTCACCGGTCCACGTGGAGTAAAGCAGGCCTATGCGTGGACATAGCCAATGAGAAAGCGTGTATTTCAGAGCTCCGAACAAGTGCAGGTGGTTACTGAAAATTGAAACAGTTTAGCCAGTGCCGTGTAGCGGTGAATAAACGTGTTTTCTTTAGTCTGTCCGTGTTTTTTCATAGATTTTATTAGTTTGTGTGTTTTTGACTTTTGAATACTCAGTTTACTTGTTGATTTAATTGTTGTGTTGATTGTTCTTGTGTGTCGTAAATATGGCTCTTTGGAGACCTTGGGAAAATGCTCCAAGCCACGAGGAGATGGTTGATGAACCTGTGCAGGCAGAATTCTTTCATAAAGATTTAGAGGAACAGACCCAAAGAGTAATCCTAAATATGTATGATTGTCTGAAAAACGAAAATCCAGATTCCTCGCAAAATCAAATTTTAAACAGAATTTGTATCCTGACAAAAATCAGTCGGTCTACCATTTATCGGGTTATAAAAAGGGGAGATGTAGTCAACCATTCCTTCCACAGAAAGCGCATAGGGCAAAAATTAAAAAGAATAGACGTGGGTTTTCAGGAAGATATTCGTCGTATAATATACGGATTTTATAAAGAAAATTTGGTGCCCACGTTGGAAATGATACGGGATAAATTAAAAGATTATCCTGAAGATTTTTATAATTACAAATGCTTAGACTCACTGCACTGTATTGTAAAACTGTGTGGTTTTCAATACAAAAAATTAGATAAAAGAATGGTAATTATGGAGTCGTCTCGAATCGTTGAATTGCGCCAAGAATTTTTGCACAAAGTTAAAATCTATAGAGAGCAGAAAAGAAATCTGATTTACCTGGATGAAACGTGGTATGATACCCATGATGTTGTGCAGTACGGCTGGGTTGACGACAGCAACAAGTGCATTTTAAATGCACCATGCAACCGTGGAAAACGAATCATTATTCTCCATGCTGGCAGTGAAAATGGATTTATACCTAATGCCTTGCTGTTATCTGCCAAAAATATCAAAGAATCATGTGCCGACTATCATGAGGACATGACCTCCGACTTATTTGAAAAGTGGATAGAGCAGCAGTTAATACCAAACATTTCCCCAAATTCAGTGATTATTATGGACAATGCGCCATACCATTCCCGACAGAAAAACAAAATTCCGAATACAGGCACAAAAAAACAAGGCATTATTGATTTTATGAAGGATAAGGGAATGGAAATACCACAATAATCAACCAAAGCCATATTATTGGATCTTATTAAAA